GGAAATTTTTTTATTAAATTTTGGAAAAATTTCCTTCAAGGAAGTTCTTTTAAAATTGGCCCGGAAAAGTTAAAAAAAGAACCAAAACAATTTAGGCTTCCAAAAAAATGAAAACCCAAAAAACTCCGGGAAGGATTTTCCCCAAAGGGGAGGAACCCCAAGGAAGTTCTTTGGAAGGGAAGGTCCTTTTTTTGTTTAAGAAAAATCAAAAAAATGGAAATTTAAAACCAAAAATTACTAAGAAATGGCTGGAAAAATTTTAGTGTCTAGAGGATTGGAAAAAAATTTTTGGGGTTTTACCTTTTGCCCTTTTGGAATTTTTTTTGTTGAAATTCCTTTTTTTTTAAAAATTAAACGGTGGTCCCCCCCGGGGGGGGGGGGGGCTTTTGGGGGGTCTTTGGGGGCTTTTTTAAAGAAAACAATGTTTAAATGAAGTGTGTTAAATTGAATTTTGTTGTTACAGGGTTTGGGGCATGATCTGGGCATCGGTTTTACTGCTTATACACCTGATTCCCCCCTCCCTCAGGGGGAAAAGGGCCAGGAAAAGGGTTTCCCCATCCCAAGCAGAGAAAAATCTTTTTGGTTTCAAGAAGGGTTTTATTTTTTTTTTTGGGGGGTTATGAACCCTAAATTTGGGGGAAAAGGGATTTATTTAATATTATATTCAATAAGAGTGTGATTGGTCTTTCTGCCTATTCTACAAATATTGGCCATTTAACTACAGTTTTTCCCCCAGTTTCGCAGACCGGAAAAAAAAATTTAAAGGGGGCATCTCGATGCCCTCAATAATGCGCTCAGCCCTATTTCCTAGCTGTTGGAGTTAAGAAGAAAGCAACCACCAGTTTTTCATCATTATCGACAAAAAAATGCCATTCCGGGAGGTCAACCTCTTCTCTTGGTTTTTTTGACGAAAAAATTTTTAAGGGGAAAAATTTTGGGTTTGGGACATCCCCACAAACACCCTGCTCCACAAAATGTACCTTTATCCAAACACAGTGTACAGCATCGGTGCGGCAAGGTCAAAAAGGGGCCCCCCTGTTGGTGAAATAAGGGCGGGTTAAATTCATTAGTGGGTTTTAAATTTCTCTCGAAAAATGGGGGTGGTGTGTCCGGCTAGTTTTTCGAGGGAGTTCCCCAAAGCCCTTTTAAAAGGGGCCCCAAGCCCTTAGTTCACCCCGGGACTTGCTGGAAACAACCCCAGGCCCCCCCAAAAAAGTGCCCAGACTGGATGTGGCTGTGCGTTTTGGGAAGTTTTTTGGGTTTTTGGGGAAAAATTTTTTAAAAAAAAAAAAACACTGAGTAATTGGCCCCAAAAGGTGACCCTGATGTTTATTTTAAACCGCATTGGGGGAGGCGGACCACCAATGTAGAGGAGACGCTAAAAACGTCAAGGACAGTTAATGAAACCACGGGAAGTAAGCCACATCTACTTGGAAAAAAGGGCCCAAAAGGAGCACCTAGATAGGGGGCCCCCTGCTGGTTTCCCCAACTAAAAAAAAGGGTGGATAAATCCAAACTACTGTAAAAAAGTTTTTTTCCTCCATGGGAAAGAAGTGTTTTTGAGATTTAAAGTAGCACATGCCGCTTTGAGGGGGCTTATCCCACAGGAAATGGGGAAAATAAGAACAGGGAAAAGAACCCTCTTTGGAAAAAATTTGGAAAAAACCCCTTTTACACCCCTTTAAAAAAAGAAGCTAAACGAAAAAAAACACTTTAAAGAGAAAGGGGAATCGTTTTGAAACCCGTTGAAAAAGGGCTTGGGGACAAGATTTGGGCACAGAAGAAACAAAACAAAAATGGGGACCTTTCGATCAGGTCGTGTTTAAAGACAAATTTGCATATTTTTCCTATTTTTGGGAAAAACTAAAAGGGCCCTTTTTCAAAACCCCCGAAATTTCCCGACATGTTCAAGCCAAAGGGACATGCCCAAGGAAAAGGGGGGTATGAGACTTGAGAATGCCGCCTTTTTTTAAAAAAAAATCCCTTATTCTCTATAGAAAAAAAATTTTCCATAACAGATCCCGCTATTTTTTGACGAATTTGAAACAGGGGAAACCCCTTTGGGGGCTAAAAAGGGTATAAAAAAAAATTAGGTGCTAAAATTTCTTTCATTAAGGAATTTTCCCCCAAACTTTAATTCCCCATTGGGTAAAAATTTTATTGGGGGCTCTTTTCCTGCCCCCGGACATCAAGCGTTAGGTTTTTAATTTTATACTTTAGCCCCTTTTCGTGATCTTTAAAATTTTCGAGACCGGGGACTTAAAGGGCCCCGATTGGAAAGATTTTGATTAAAGGTACCAAAAGTAAAGGTTTCCCCGGGAAATCTTTGGGGGGTTTCATGGTTTTTTGGCTTTGTGGAGTCTTTGGGGCAAGGTATGGGGGCGTTTTTATCTTTAGAAAGGGTTGTTTTTAAAAGTGTTTGTGAAGATGATCCAAAACTTGTATAGAAAATCGAGATTTCACAAACGCACTGTCAAACTTTTCAAACAGATCCGAAAATACCTCTATCTATGGTGTCAACCGGGATTTTTCTGGGTGAATTCATACCCGTATTTTAATACAGCCAACAATTTTTTTGTTAGATATAATGCCCCGATTTTTAAAAAAGGGTTTTCTCAGTTTGAAGTCAAACTTTCCCGCCCGTAAAATTAAGGAAAAATTTTCCCAAATGCGGGAAAAAACTGGTGGTAGAATCCCTTTCTTTTGATAGGGGAAAAATCAGCGCGAAAAACCCTCCACCTGAGGGAAAGTTTTTTTGATGGAAATAATGATTGGGGTTTTAATGCCCATACAGTCTTTGGGGCTTATTTCGTAATATGGCCCCTTTCTATTTGGTGATTTTAAAACAGTTAAAATGACCAGCATGGCATTTTTTTACTTTTTCTTCTACACTTTTTAACATTTTTAAATTTTTCCCCCCTCATTTTCAGAAGGATGACCCTTTTTTCCCAAAAATTTAACCTTGATATCATCAGCCTTCCAAACAGTTGGGTTTTCCCGCAATCAATCTCTTACCAAAGCATCACTTCAGGGTTTAAATTTAAACCCCCGTTAAAATTAAAAAAAAACGGGCCCAAATCTGAAAAATGTGGTGCATGCCCTTTTTGAAGCTTTAAAATAATTTTTTTTAAAAAAAGCAATTAAAAAGTTTAAAAAGGGAACAAAAAAAATTAGCCAAAAAGCACCAAAGTTGTTTTTGGCAATGTATCGGAAATCCCTTTTGCAAGGGAAAAATAACTTTAGGTTGGGGAAGATGGGAAAAACCCCTTTGTGGCTCAAAGAAAGGGCCCGAGATTGCTTTAAAAAGTGGGTCTGAGTTTTTCCCCGTGGTTTTTCCCAAGTGGATCAAAAAATCCTGGTTTTCAGGGAAAAAATACCGCCCTTTACTTCATTATCTGACGGGGGTAGCATTTTAGGGATGCCTGTATTTTGGTAAAAAATCAAAATTATTGCTGTGAAAGATGACTGTGTATTGCTCTGTGGAAAACTGATGGAAACAGTGTGTTTTGATTACCATTACTATGCCTTTAGTCAGGATGCATCCGACAGGGTTCAAAAGGTGATCAACATTACTGAACTGTGTTACTTTAAAACCTTTTGATGTTCAAATGAAGTATGGAACGACAGATTCCTCCTTGTATTTGTTCCCTATTGCCATTTTATGGAAACCTAAGGTCAATGGTTTTTAAAAAGGGATTTGTATTCTTAATATATTTTAGCCTGACATAGTTGAGCTGTTAATAAAAAATTTGAAATGCATTATTTTGTGGTAAGTTGTGATTTTTTACTCACTTAATGGAGTATGTTGGTGTAATTTGACACTAAAAAAGTGTAAAATGAATACTGCTGAGATTTATTTCCGTGACCTATACGGTGTTAGAAATTTGACTCTATTTGAGCTTGTTTTTCAACCTGCAAGATAGTCAATTATCAACAACAATAGTGTGTAACATCAACACTTATCAGAGTTATTTTAACCTTGAGTTGTCAACTCCATGCAGTGTTAAACTGGACTGGATCAAACTCAATCAGAGTTGATTTGTTATTTTAGAAGAGTAAATGATTAACTCTTCCAAGGGTAATATTTACACTCTCCAGTGTTATTTAACCTTTAGTGTAAAATTAAAATAACACTATTCAGTGTAAGCGAGTGTTAAATTTTTACTCTATTTAGAGTTAAATTTAACTCTAAAATGTTAACACTATGAAAGAGTCAAATTAACACTATTGTCCAGGGTGGGACCATATACACTCAGAAATAGTGTTAAATTTAACTCTTTAAGTGTTACTTTAACACTTCAAAATTTACTGTGTATAAGGGGGTTACACTCCAGTGTAGTAGGTGGCATAATGCAACAATTATTGGATGCCAACCGCCGTTTAACCTCATCGAAGAAGTAGTATTCGATCAAATAAACGTTACGTAGCAAAAAAGCCATTCCATTTTTTGGTTGACCAAATTCGACACTCATTGTGTTGTCCTAACAAAAACTCCTTGCTTGGTGGGCGAAACAACGCCACCTGCTGGACGGAGACATATTTTCCGCCGAGTTGGGCCTCTCTGTTGTTGCTTAGTCTGACTAGGTATGTGGCCCCCGCCCCCTAACTACAGTAGGCTTTTTAGCCTATTTATCGCACAAGAAGTAGAACTAAAGTAAACGTTTATAGTTTTTTTTAACGGGGGGATTATTTCATTCCAATATTTTCAAAAATCGTTTAAAAAGATTGCAGTCAGATCACTTTTGACAATGGCCTGATTTGTTTGGTAGGTTAGTACTAGTTGGTGGTGTTCTAGTTGACTTTGTAGCCCTACCTAGCTACTATGACATGTTTCCCATCTTAACTAAACATTTGAATGAATGTTTAGCCAAACTCACAACACAATTCACTTCATTTGTAAACCAAACGCTATGTGACTGTTGAAGCTTGGCTACCCAGAAATGACACAGGTGTTTTTCTAAACGCGTCGCTCTGTGGGCGGTTGTTCGATAGAGACGAAGATGGCGGACGAACTAGACCGAGTACGGATTTCAGCTGCGGAGCTTCGAGCTGAAGCGTCGAGTTTTGCCAACCACCACGGCGATTGTCACAGAGGTGAGAGTGATCACCGAAAGTTATCGTTATACCATCAAAGAGAACCCACGAAAAACGAGCAAATCCAAAGTATAACGGAAACTAAGTAGTCAGCTTGCTAGCTAACGTTAGCTAGCTGACGTAACGGCAGCTAGGACGCATCATGTGGTCTTTTGTTTTCTAACGCCCCCTGAACAATATCACTCACTCACCCCCACTCTCGCAACCGGGGTCTAAGTTGGAAATGCACATATCATCAACCTAGACTGAGGTTCCCACGCTCTCCTGCTTGGTTGGGGCTATTGTCCATGCAGTCATTGTCTGCTTGCTAGTTAGCAAGATAGCTACGTTAGTATTAGCAGACTAGCTAGCTTCTAGTTTTTTCCAAAGACAACAGTAGTATGTGGCTTTTCTTTACATGCCACAGTAAGCTAGCTAACGTTAGCTAGATACAAGTCAACGAAGGCGGCAAAAATGTATAGTTGAACTAGCACCGTGTTTGTTAGCTAGCTAACTGACACAAGTTGAGTAACGGCAACGCTAGGAATACGTTTTGTTTTTTAGCGTCATTTTATTTTTTTAGCTAACCTATGCTAGCAAACTAAATCACTATGGCAACCGCACCTGTAGCTTACGCCACACTAACTAGCTAGCCACACACAGAGAGAGATACAGTAGCTAGCTAGCCACACACAGAGAGAGATACAGTAGCTAGTTAGCCACACAGAGAGAGAGATACAGTAGCTAGCTAGCCACACAGAGAGAGAGATACAGTAGCTAGCTAGCCACACAGAGAGAGAGATACAGTAGCTAGCTAGCCACACACAGAGAGAGATACAGTAGCTAACTCGTCTTTCCTAAATTATCATTGATGAGTCCTCTCCGGTCCTGGGGAACTTCTAGGTTCAGTCTCAGAGTCTGGGCCATAATTAGCTGAACAGGTGTGTTTGAGTAGGGCTGGAACTAAAGCCTGCTCACCTACCCAGTAGCTTTCCAGGCCCTAAATTGGAGACTCCCTATTGGACTGACCCGTTTCACACTGAACCCAACACACTTATCCTCCTTACGCTTGGTATACACTACACCACGTCTAAAATCTTAACAACTTGGATGTGCTCACATATCCAGATTTCCTTGCCCCAAATATTTCATTCCGTCCAACCTCAACCCCAGAATGTGGGCGCTCACATTACACAATGATTCCCTAGTTGATCCTGGCCTGCATTTCTTGGTTGTAGTAGGAAAGAAATGCTGACGCAAACAGTGAGCTACTTTATTAGTGTGCGCATTATTATGTGCAGAAAGACCAAAAGAGACAGAGACACAGAATATTGACTTAATATATAAAATAAGCATAATTGCATAATTATCTTTTTGATTTCTGTCATGGTAGGACGGCTATGTAATTTTGGTGAAGATCGTTTTGCATGGCCCGGTGCCCCAGGTGGGTGGAGATTTTACTTAAGAACCAATGGAATGGTCCTTTAGTGAACTCTCCCATTGAAAAGGCAGTGGTGTTCTCTCCACAGCTCCACCAATCTGTCTCCCATCCCCTCGGTCCTGTTGCGTGTCGTTGCTTTCCTCTTCATCTTCCTTGTATTGGTCTCGCATGCTGAGTGCTCATTGGCTATTGGCAGCAGTCCTTGACCAATGGCGTCATAGCACTGCTCATACTACAACATGCACAACCAAAATGTCAGACATCCGACAGGGGTCTGGAGAACGGAACAGCCATCATCGGTGCGCCCCTTGACCCGCTCAAACTACGCCAGTCCAACGTACTGACCCTAGCCCAAGTTCATAGGATTTCAACCCGATCATGAAACAATTTCTGGGATGGCAAAAAACGTGGTGAATTCGTGGCAAAAAATCGTGTGTAGTGTATGCCCAGCATTAGCTATCATACCCTAGCTACAAGTTACATCCAGGCCCTGGGGCAGCTGTGTCATGTCATGTCCATTGTTTTGGTTGAAACACGGGGTATAGGTGCACTGCATTGTGACTGTTCTCCCTGCTATCTCTTTCTCTCTTACCTCCTGCTCTCACCTTTGGTATTTTGATATTTTATTAGGATCCCCATTAGCTGTTGTGAAAGCAGCAGCTACTCTTCCTGGGGTCCACACAAAACATGAAACATGACGTAATACAGAACATTAATAGACAAGAACAGCTCAAGGACAGAACTACATATATATATTTTTTAAAGGCACACGTTGTGCCGTGAGGTGTTGCTTTATCTGTTTTTTGAAACCAGGTTTGCTGTTTATTTGAGCAATATGAGATGGAACGGAGTTCCATGCAATAATCGCTCTATATAATACTGTACGCTTTCTTGAATTTGTTCTGGATTTGGGGACTGTGAAAAAAACCCTGGTGGCATGTCTGCTGGGGTAAGTGCGTGTGTCAGAGCTGTGTGTAAGTTGACTATGCAAACAATTTGGGATTTCCAACACATTCATGTTAGTAATATAAAAAGAAAGAGTGATGCAGTCAGTCTCTCCTCAACTCTTAGCCAAGAGAGACTGGCATGCATAGTATTTATATCAGCCCTCTGATTACAATGAAGAGCAAGACGTGCCGCTCTGTTCTGGGGAAGCTGCAGCTTAACTAGGTCTTTCCTTGCAGCACTTGACCACACGACTGGACAATAATCAACATTAGACAAAACTAGAGTCTGCAGAACTTGCTTTTTGGAGTGTGGTGTCAAAAAAGCAGGGCATCTCTTTATACGGACAGACTTCTCCCCATCTTTACAACCATTGAATCTATATGTTTTGACCATGATAGTTTACAATCTAAGGTAACGCCAAGTAATTTAGTCTCCTCAACTTGTTCAACAGCCACACCATTCATTACCAGATTCAGCTGAGGTCTAGAACTTAGGGAATGATTTGTACCAAATCCAATGCTCTTAGTTTTAGAGATGTTCAGGACCAGTTTATTAGTGGCCACTCATTCCAAAACAGACTGCAACTCTTTGTTAAGGGTTTCGGTGACTTCATTAGCTGTGGTTGCTGATGTGTATATGGTTGAATCATCAGCATACATGGACACACATGCTTTGTTTAATGCCAGTGGCAAGTCATTGGTAAAAATAGAAAAGAGTAAAGGGCCTGGAGAGCTGCCCTGTGGTACACCACACTTTACATGTTTGACATTAGAGAAGCTTCCATTAAAGAAAACAGAGTTCTATTCGATAGATGGCTCTGAATCTATGATATGGCAGAGGTTGAAAGCCATAACACATACATTTTTTTTCACCAACAGGTTATGGTCAATAATATCAATGGCTGCACTGAAATCTAACAGTACAGCTCCCACAATATTCTTATTATCAATTTCTTTCAACCAATCATCAGTCATTTGTGTCAGTGCAGTACATGTTGAGTGCCCTTCCCTATAAGCATGTTGAAAGTCTGTTGTTGATTTGTTTACAGAGAAATAGCATTGTATTTGGTCAAACACAATTTTTTCCAACAGAGCTGGCAGCAAGCTTATAGGTCTGCTGTTAGGACCAGTAAAGGCCGCTTTACCATTCTTGGGTAGCGGAATTAATTTGGCTTCCCTCCAGGCCTGAGGACAAAGACTTTCCTCTAGGCTCAGATTAAAGATATGACAGATAGGAGTGGCTATAGAGTCAGCTACCATCCTCAGTAGCTTTCCATCTAAGTTGTTAAACTTTCTCCTGCTGTGTGTTACTCAGAGGAGACTGAGAACAAACTAAACGTACACGACTGAGCGAGAAGGAGTGAAAACGAGAGAGAAGGGGCTCTGACCTTCAGAACTGATTGTGTCTCTGTTGAAAAGTCAGTCATCACTACTAATATCTCCCTTCCTCCTCTTTCTCCCTCTCCCAACTCTTTCTCTCCCCTCTCGTACCCCTCTCCCTGTCACAGAGGAGCGAGGAGAGGAGGGACGTGGCCAACGCCAGCAGCGTCACCATGGCAACGACCCCTCAAAACGCCCTGACCTGCAGCGCTACACGCCCGGGGCTGGCCACGGCAACCGTCGCCATGACAGCGAGGACGGCGGCTTAGTCACTTCCCCTGGTCACCCTGGAGACCGGTTAGCCATGGCCTCTGACCCCGAGGAGGAGCTGGTGATGTCACCGCCACAGAAGGTGGAGGAAGAAGGACAGAAGATGGCCGCCTCTGAGACGGTTTCAACTGAACTTGGATGTATAGATGGAGGGATGGGGAAAGGAGGAGGAGGAGGAGGAGGTGATGGTGGAGGAGGAGGAGGTGGTGGTGGAGGAGGAGGAGGTGGTGGTGGTGATGGTGGAGGAGGAGGAGGTTTTACTTCAAACCGGGGTGGATGCTCTCAAGCACCTGCACAACAGAGGACTCAGAGAGGTGACCACCACACCACCATAGCAGACAACAACAACAACAGTAGCTGTGCAAAGGGACCGTCAGGCTCAGGTAGCCGACCACAGAACTCCAGACATAGGGATGGAGGGAGAGAGAAGCACCAGAGGGATGGAGGGAGAGAGAAGCACCAGAGGGGGAGAGACCCAGACCTCTCTGAGCCAGCAGGGGGTTTCCCTGGCTCTCCCAAGGCCACCAGGAAGACCCGTAAACCGGACCGGGAGATTTACCAGCCGGGGGGTCGGAGGAGCACCACCACCCAGGGGAAGGAGGCAGAAGCGGGAAGAGAGACCGATAAACCTGCCCCTACCCATGGTCCCCCTGGTCCTGTCAGAGAGGAAACCCAAGCCAGGAGAGAACCTGCCGTATGGAGAGAGACTGGAGGAGAGCAAGAGGTGAAAGGGAGGGAGGAGACAGGGAAAGGTGGCAGAGGGGGGGAGGAGACAGGGAAAGGTGGCAGAGGGGTGGAGGAGACAGGGAAAGGTGGCAGAGGGGGGGAGGAGACAGGGAAAGGTGGCAGAGGGGTGGAGGAGACAGGGAAAGGTGGCAGAGGGGGGGAGGAGACAGGGAAAGGTGGCAGAGGGGGGGAGGAGACAGGGAAAGGTGGCAGAGGGGGGGAGGAGACAGGCAGAAGGCAGCGGAGGAGGGAACCAGGGAAAGCAGCCGTCTCAGACCCTGGAGTGGAGAACCTGACAGGGAAGATACAGAAACTCAGTGTGACTGCCCCACCTGAGAGAGAGGAGGAGCGGGAAAAAGGAGGAGGGGGAGAGAAAGGAGAGGGGGAGGCAGGAGTAGGCAGGAGGAGGAAGGCTAGCGGTGAGGGCAGGAGAAGCAGAGCTGGAGGTGGAGGACGAGTAGGAGGAGCAAATGAAGGATGCGAGAAGACTGAGGAGAAGAAGAGAGAGAGGGGAAACCGCAGGAACAGAGGAGGAGGGGAGAAGGAGGGGAATCAGGACTCCAGGAGAAGAGGAAGAGGCGAAGGAGGGGGGGGGAAGGGTGAGCGAGGGATGACAGAGAAAGAGAGAGACTGGAGAGCGTCGGAGGGAGACGGAGAGAGGGAAGCGAACCGTCTTGCAGATACACAGCCAGCGAAGGGAAGAGAGAAACCGACTGAGAGAGACAACCAGAGAGGGAACAACAGACCCCAACCTCTACCCCGAGATGTAGACAGAGAGAGGGATGGAGAGAGAGACATAAACGGAGATGGAGAGATGGAGAGAAACAGAGAGGGGATAGCGGAAGGGAGCGAGAGCTACAGAGACTACACTAACCCTAACAACAACCACCACCCATCATCATCCTCCTTTAAGCTCTACTCCAAGTCGAACATCCGCCGGCCCAGGAACCGCACCTACAGCACCAGCTCTGCCAGCAGTGGCACCAGCCTGGATGGACCTGGATTTGGACAGGGAGGGGGTCGGGGGGAGGACAGGGCCCAACGAGACCGCCTGGGGCACAGGGAGAGAGACAGAGGAGAGGGAGGAGGAGGTCAGCTACCGAACAGGAGGAGAAACACTAGAGACTCCTCGACAGACTCACTGGAGGAGAGAAAGATGGGAGACAGGCTGGATGAGAGGAGGAGGAGGAGAGATGGAGGAGAGGAGGACTTGAGCCCGGAGAGGAGGAGAGGGGAGGAGGAGAGCAGAGGGAGAGGGGGAAGAGGACACAGAGGAGGAGGGAGAGGAGGGCTCCTGAAAGTGTCTCAGAGCGATAGACAGTCAGGCACCTCCCACACCACCTCAGGCCCCAGTGACGACCTTCAGGGGCGCCGCAGGCAGGGCACTGTGCCTCGCGGTAGGGAGAGAGGCATCCTCATCCTCCCTGCCCACACTGACCTCTCCAATTTGCCGGCGGAGCCCGGGCCAAGGCTCCTGTTTGGTGGGATTCGAGGAGGAAGAGAGGCGGGACTAGGGAGAGGAGGAGGAAGAGGCGGAGGAACAAGAAGACTCTGGGATCCCAACAACCCCGACCAGAAACCCGCTCTCCGGCTCTCCCAGCATGCCTCTCTCCAGCAGCAGCAGCCCATGTACCTGCAGACGGGCGGCGGTTACGGAGCGCTGCACTTCCTGGATACGGACGACGAGGCTGCAGGGAGTCCCCCGGTCCGCCAGGGGGAGCACTTCCACCCCCAGCAGCAGGCCGTAGCCATGGCCCAGGCCTTCTACAAGTACCAGAACTCGGACAACCCTTACCCTTACAACGCCAACCCCAATGCACGCTACCCATACCCCTACCACACCATGCCCACCGGCCCCTACCAGATGCCCCCCTCCAACGGCATTTACCCGGCCCAGTTCTACGGGAGTTACAGGGGCCAGGGGTACCAGGCTGCAGCTGGATCCGGAACCGGGGCTGCAGCTGGAGCAGGTCTGACACCAGAGGAGGTGGAGCAGCAGGCCAGGGGAGAGGGGGAATGCGAGGGCAAAAGAGGAGTACATCTCCTTCTATTAAAACCCTCGTCTGCGGTGGACCGCATTCTCACTCGGGAGGTGGGGGAGAGGGGCAGGTGGATGGCGGGGAGAGGGAGGAACAGGGGTTTCGATTTGAGGGGAAGGCGAGGACGGGTATTGCAAGGGGGTGGGGAAGGGTTTAGGATGGAGGGGAAGGAGAGGACAGGTGGATGGGGGGATAGGGAAAAAGGGCAGGGGGGGTTTGGTGGGAGGAAGGTGGAACAGGGTTTGGTAGGTTTGGAGGAGAGGGACATTGGGTTTGGGGGGGTGGGAGAGAGGATGGAGGAGGGAGGGATAGGGACAGGTAGGATGGAGGGGAAGAAGGGACAGGGAAAGGATGGAAGGGGAATGAGAGGGCCAGGGTAGGTTTGGAGGGGAGGGGAGGGACAGGGTAGGATGGAGGGGAGAGGAGAGGGACAGGTTAGGTGATGGGAAGGGATGAGAGGAGAGGGACAGTGGTAGGATGGAGGGGAGGGAGGAGGAAGGGTAGATTGGGGAGAGGAAGGACAGGTAGGATGGAGGGGGGAGAGAGAGGTACAGGGTAGGATGTTAAAAGGGGAGAGTAGGAGAGACAGGGTAGATGGAGGATAGAGAGGGACCGGGGTAAGTATGGAGGGTGGAAGAAGGGACAGGGTAGGATGAGGGAGTAGGAGAGGAAGGTAGGATGGAGGGTGAGCTCCAACTCGGTAAGAGGGGAGGGGGAAGGGAGGGAAGCTGCAACCTAACGGGCTGATAAGTTTTCTATGTCTTGTCTCTTTTTCATCTCTTCTTTCTCTCCTCTCTCCCCACCTCTCTCCTCCCTTCCTCGGGGTCTTCTCCCTCCCTCCCGTCCTCTCCTCTTCTCTCTCTTGTCTCGCTCTTCTCCCTTCCCTCTCGCTCCCCCTCTTCTCTCCTCCCTCCTCCCTCCCCCCTCTCCTCCCCCTCTCTCTCCCCTCCCCTCTCGTCTCCTTCCTCTCTCCTCTCCTACCTCTCTCTCTTCTCTTTTCCAATTCTCTCCCCTCTCTCTCCCCCCCTCTCTCTCCCCCATCCTCTCCCCCCCTTCTCTCTCTCCCCCTTGCTCTCTCTCCCCTTCTCTCCCCCCTCTCTCTCTCCCCTCCTCTCTCTCCCCCTCTCTCTCCTCTCTCCCCTCTCCCCTCCCTTCCTCCTCTCCTCCCTCTCTCTCTCCCCCTCCCTCTCTCTCTCGATTTTCTCTTCTCGCTCTCTCTCCGCTCTCCCTCCCCTCTCCCTCCCTCTCTCACTCTCCCCCCTTGCTCTCCTCCTCTCTCTCTCTCTTCCCCCTCCTCTCTCCACTCCCCCCCCCTCCCCTCTCTCTCAACCCCCCCCCCGACCTCCCTCTCTCTCTCCCTCCCCCCTCTCTCCCCCTCCCCGCCTCTTCTCCTTCCCTCTCGCTCTCTCTCCTCTCCCTCCCTCCTCTCTCTCATCTCCCTCTCCATTCCACCCCTCCTCTCTCTCCCTCCCCCCTCCCTCCCCCTCCCTCCCTCCAGAGCTGACCTGTTGACCCTCTACTGAGCGGATGATCCTAACAGACATAGAGTTCAGTGACAGTCAGAACCTGGACCAGGCTCTATGGAAAAACATATTCTACCAGGTTATAGAGCGCTTCAGACAGCTCCTCAAAGACCCTAGCGGAGACTCAGCCCCGCGCATCACCCTCATGCTGTTCACTCTGCTGGACGAGGTACACACACTGAACACACACACCACGTACGCACCAGGCCTGGACGAGGTACACACACTGAACACACACACCACGCACGCACCAGGCCTGGACGAGGTACACACACTGAACACACACACCACGTACGCACGCACGCACCAGGCCTGGACGAGGTACACACACTGAACACACACACCACGTACGCACGCACGCACCAGGCCTGGACGAGGTACACACACACCACGTACGCACGCACCAGGCCTGGACGAGGTACACGCACTGAACACACACACACCACGTACGTACGCACGCACCAGGCCTGGTAATTTTAGGGGCAAGGCCATTTGGCCTTCAAGAGGTGCCAAATCTGCCAGGACGTTAAGGCCATTAACCAAAATAGCACATTTTAATCGATTATAAAAACAAAACACACTAGCAATTCTGTAAAAAAAAAAAAACATGTCTAAGTAAGTGGCCATAAATAATTAGCCTACATATCAAAAGTGTAGGTGATAGGCTTGGGCCATATACCGTATACCGGGCTATTTGGAAAAAGCCACGGGATGGTTTTTCAATATCATTGAAACTATTTGTTTGAAGTTTTTTTAAATACATTTCAATATTTGTAGCTACTTTTTAAGTAAATACCCGCAGTCCACTTGTGCAATACGTTAGGAGAAAAAGCAGATTGCGTTCTTCATTTCACCTGTCACATCATGTTTCATTATGAAGCTTACCGGTAGTCCCCAGTAACAACGAGAGACCGGAGCCTTGTGAGTCACTCACTGTTGTCCAACATGCACCAGGTGATCTAGTTACTGTATGAAATTCACAACTAACTGTTTGCCAGCTAGATAACTTATAACTATTAAGTTAACTGTCTAAAATGTGCTAAATGCTCTGCAGTTGTGCATTTGGTTTGCTAATTTAGTAGCTAGTTAGCTATCTAGCTAAGTGGTTAGCTTCTTTCAAAATCATTCGCTTGGTAACAGCAGAGAATCCCCTCCTGGATCAAGAGCCTTGCTGGCTAATATTTGTTTAGTGTGTGTGCAGCAAACTGTGAGTAGCATTTTTTAGTTACTTGAATAGTTGAGGTCAGAAACTGTACAAAATGTTCACGATGCGCTTTTTAGCATTTAGTTAGCGTTCTTTATGGGATTTTACATGTACTTGTTAGCATTGCTAACCTTTGGATTACAGAGTATCAGTGGGGTTTGAAAACAGCACCCCTTTGTGTTCAGTGCCGGTATTACCGAATATCCCCGTATGGCACAAGGTCGGTATGAAGGTATGACAATCTGGATACCGCCCAAGCCTAGTAGGTGATGGAGTGTGCATATTGGCTACAGCCTCTCATGTCCACACAGATGCTGACAGAGTGAGGCGTCAGAAAATGGAGCCAAACTTTAATGGGACTTTTAATTACATATATAGGCCAAATGGCAGTCATGTTTGACAAATATAATGTTTGGATCATTAACACGAACATCTGAAGGCTTGATTCTGTCGACATACTCAAAGCACGGTTCGTTCAGAGAAAGCCCAGTGCCTGTTGTACGCTGCAAGATCACCCACCTTGCAATCTGAGTGGAGGCATTCAGCATTTTGAAACTATACTGAACAAAAATATAAACGCAACTGTTTTAAAGAGTTACAGTTCATAGAAGGAAATCAGTAAATTTAAATAAATAAATTAGGCCCTAATCTATGGATTTCACATGACTGATTTCACATGGCTGGGCAGGGGCGTTTTATATTTTTGTTCAGTTTAGCCTTACACTTAATTGTTTTAAACCTGGATGTTTTGTCATTTTATGAGGCATGTCTTACCTTGTTTCAAAGTAGCTTGACCAAATCCGACTATAGAAATGTTGAAGGAATTATTTTATAAACACTTCCTCATATGCCATTGAAACCAGCATTTATCTCATGTTCTAACAACTTTCTTTCATTGTCCAGTAGCCAAAGGCACAATAGTCATATTAGCAACCTTTGCTAGCTGTTGCATCTTTAGATCTCCACTCTTTCAAAACAGATATTTTCATCTCGGTCACATGAAACCGCTCACATGAGCGGTGCGCATTTGAGAATGGTGTTTTCCCGCTAATTGCATTTTGGAACATTTGCGCGTATAGCCTACTGCCGTATGTGCATTGCTGTGCTTATAATGTGAAGAAATAATAGTTTATCAAAATGTTAAGCTAAACGTTCAGATCTGTTGCATCAGCCTCATTGGTTTTTTAAATGTTCAATGGTCCTGGTCCCACAACTGTACATCATCTATTGTCCCACAACTGTCCCAGAGTCTGTTTAGAATATGTATTTTTCGCACAGAACAACAAGCTGACCAATAAAATAGGTAAACGTTTCTACTATGGGGGATAGTAGATTGACATAGGCTAGTGTTTTTTGCTGTTCGTTAATTGTCTTGTTGGCTGAGGAAAAGTAAATGGGGACAATTATTCAAACATCTTCAAAGTGCGCCTCGGAATTCGATAAGAAGGACGCAGATATCTCAAGAATTGATATCTGAGAGAGACATGTGAGTGAGAGGCGCTTCGGAGCGCGGTGATTGGCAGCCGGGAGAAGAGAATTATAATTAGATATTGGGGGGGCTTACAGCCACACGAAGGGGTTTGGCCGTCGATTCCGCCGTGAAATTCAAGGCCTGGTACACACGCAGACATACACACACACCACGTACAGACACGCACACACCGTGTTCAACTTCATGCAACTATTTTGATGCGTTTCTTGATGGAGCTAATCATTTTGGTGCACTGTGTTTGTTTCCCAGGGGGCGGTATTCTTTGATGCGCTGCTGCAGAAGCTTCAGACGGTGTTTCAGTTTAAACTGGATGATTACATGGACGGCATGGCCATCAGAGCACGTCCACTACGCAAGACGGTAACAACACTACTTGTGTGTGTGTGTTCAGACTGTGTGTATAGGGCCCTTTTAAAATCAGTTGAGTCTTTTCCCAAATTCAGTTTTTCGCACAATCACACTTTTTAAAATAGAAAAACAGTGAAAATGGATGTTCTAAGTTCACAACAATGCTTACACTACATCAGGAGGCCACTTTTGAGGTCAGGAAAAATCTTAACACATTTGTATTTTTGGGTGTAGTTACCCTTTAATTCAAGCGCAAACCTAACAAGAGGCTGTTGTTGTTTAGTGTGTTTTTTGTTGCGCACGTGACGGTAGAGTTTGGAAAACAAATACCCAGTGGATTGATGAAAATAATCATGATATCATTCTGCCGGGTAAGCATAGGATCCTCTGTAGTTAACATTCAATTGAGAAGGTTTTTGGGAAAGCCTTTCCATCTACCAGAAGACTGCTTTCATTAGCATCATCGCTAACGGCTACACAAAGTGGTTGACGCGTGCAAAAAAAATAAAATAAAATGGTCGGACAACCAGAGATTTCAGTTGTCTGAATGGACAAGTTAAAAATATCACTATCAAACAATTACTCAGATCAGAATTGGATCAGGCAGCGCACGGCAGGGCAGTGCATGGTTGACATTCTGAGTAAATTGACTATATTCCTTCGCTATAGCCTATTCCAATAAATATGTTCTGTTTACACAAAGCAAGAGAACAATGTAGGCGGAGCTAAGAGTCTCTCTCTCAAATGTCTGATGATCTGGGCCAATAGCCGGACACTCCGGTGTCTTAGTGTTCTAGAAGCCCACATCTTCTGTTTTCTCTCCATTTGATATGAATATGACTCGGCCATTTTAGGCCACTGCTCCATTTCTCCTGCCGCACTATTTCATGATCAAACAATGAATTCATCTTAACGGAGTTCTAGGCTATCTCAGAAAGTTTGAAGTTTTTTTTTTTTTTTTTGAATAAACCCCAAAACATGAGGCATAAGGTAATAATGAAAATATAGAAGAAACATTAGCAAGATTTAAAAATCAAATGAAAAATGTTGAACAAACCTTACAGTTGAGCAAAGCATTATAAGACCGAAATGATGCATGATGCATGCGTGCGAGGTCGGGGGGAAAAATTCCCTCTGCCGTTGCGAACCAAACAACCAAAAGCCTAATCCTACTGAAACTATGTTCATAAAGTGTTTTAATGTCCTAAAGTTGCAGCTTTTAAATGGGAATAATTATGAAAGTGCTATTCTCAATCACAGATGTATTTTTTTGAATGACAAATATTTTAGGCCACAAGAAGTGAAATTGAGCAAACGATACCAAGATGGAGAAATCTAATGAGGAGTCAAAGGAAACGGAGGCTACAGCGGAGGAAAGAAATGATGCGTAGCCGGCCTAGGTCTATTTCCATGTTATTCTAGCAATGTGCAACCCTACCTACAACTCACGTAGGCCTGACGAGAGAGGAAGATCCATTTTTATAATGATCCAGTTCTGACAAACAGCAGCTCTGAAGCCCAATGATTTTACAACCCATCACAAGAGCACAGCGAGGCTTGTTGACACACAGATAGCCAGATAGGCCTAGGATGCTACTCAGCGCCAACAGAGTGGAGTAGGTTATTACAAAAGATGACGTCACGATTCCTCTCGTCCCTCCTGTAGCAGATTATACATTGTTTTGCCTGCACTACAGATGGCTATATCGGTCTGCTAATATAGGACTAGTAAATGCCCAGTGCACTACTTTTGTGAAAAAACTAAACTTTTCTTATTTTTTATTATGAATATATTTTTTTGTTCAGATTATTCAGTGTGTGCTGCAGCACCCTCATCCTCCCTACTTCCCGTGGCTCTGCCCTTTTGGCCGATGGTGTTAGACCTTTTTTTTTGGGGGGGGGGGGGGGGGGGGGGGGGTGATGGGGGGGACAAGTGACTTCAGCTTTCGGAAAAGTAAAAAATCTGTACTTCTACCTTAGAATACATTTTTTGCATTTTGTTGAATTCCGTTTTAATGTCTGGATTCCGTGATTCCATCCACGTTCTCCACATGTCAGATTTTCTAGGGTCCTACAGTGGGGGGAAAAAAGTATTTAGTCAGCCACCAATTGTGTAAGTTCTCCCACTTAAAAAGATGAGAGAGGCCTGTAATTTTCATCACGTCAACTATGACAGACAATTTGAGAGAAAAAAGATCCAGAAAATCACATTGTAGGATTTTTAATGAATTTATTTGCAAATTATGGTGGAAAATAAGTATTTGGTCAACTACAAACAAGCAAGATTTCTGGCTCTCACAGACCTGTAACTTCTTCTTTAAGAGGCTCCTCTGTCCTCCACTCGTTACCTGTATTAATGGCACCTGTTTGAACTTGTTATCAGTATAAAAGACACCTGTCCACAACCTCAAACACTCCAAACTCCACTATGGCCAAGACCAAAGAGCTGTCAAAGGACACCAGAAACAAAATTGTAGACCTGCACCAGGCTGGGAAGACTGAATCTGCAATAGGTAAGCAGCTTGGTTTGAAGAAATCAACTGTGGGAGCAATTATTAGGAAATGGAAGACATACAAGACCACTGATAATCTCCCTCGATCTGGGGCTCCACGCAAGATCTCACCCCGTAGGGTCAAAATGATCACAAGAACGGTGAGCAAAAATCCCAGAACCACACGGGGGGACCTAGTGAATTACCTGCAGAGAGCTGGGACCAAAGTAACAAAGCCTACCATCAGTAACACACTACGCCGCCAGGGACTCAAATCCTGCAGTGCCAGACGTGTCCCCCTGCTTAAGCCAGTACATGTCCAGGCCCGTCTGAAGTTTGCTAGAGTGCATTTGGATGATCCAGAAGAGGATTGGGAGAATGTCATATGGTCAGATGAAACCAAAATATAACCTTTTGGTAAAAACTCAACTTGTCGTGTTTGGAGGACAAAGAATGCTGAGTTGCATCCAAAGAACACCATACCTACTGTGAAGCATGGGGGTGGAAACATCATGCTTTGGGGCTGTTTTTCTGCAGAGGGACCAGGACGACTGATCCGTGTAAAGGAAAGAATGAATGGGGCCATGTATCGTGAGATTTTGAGTGAAAACTTCCTTCCATCAGCAAGGGCATTGAAGATGAAACGTGGCTGGGTCTTTCAGCATGACAATGATCTCAAACACACCGCCCGGGCAACGAAGGAGTGGCTTCGTAAGAAGCATTTCAAGGTCCTGGAGTGGCCTAGCCAGTCTCCAGATCTCAAATCTTTGGAGGGAGTTGAAAGTCTGTGTTGCCCAGCAACAGCCCCAAAACATCACTGCTCTAGAGGAGATCTGCATGGAGGAATGGGCCAAAATACCAGCAACAGTGTGTGAAAACCTTGTGAAGACTTACAGAAAACGTTTGACCTGTGTCATTGCCAACAAAGGGTATATAACAAAGTATTGAGAAACTTTTGTTATTGACCAAATACTTATTTTCCACCATAATTTGCAAATAAATTCATAAAAAATCCTACAATGTGATTTTCAGGATTTTTTTTCTCTCATTTTGTCTGTCATAGTTGACGTGTATCTATGATGAAAATTACAGGCCTCTCTCATCTTTTTAAGTGGGAGAACTTGCACAATTGGTGGCTGACTAAATACTTTTTTTCCCCACTGTATGTGTATTTAACGGTATATAATGTGTGTTGGTCCAGGTGAAGTATGCTCTGATCAGCGCCCAGCGGTGTTTGATCTGTCAGGGGGACATCGCCCGTTACCGGGAGCAGGCCAGCGACTCGGCTAACTACGGCAAGGCCCGCAGGTATTGTACCTTGGCTACCAGGGAAAATGTGTTTGTCCGTGTTCCTGTCCATTGACAAATCGTAATGGGAGAAACTGGTGTTGTTAAAATGTTGTAAAGATGTTTATGAAATAATACTCCTTCAGGTCTCTCTTGCAAAGGAGATAAAAGTTTTCGACTCCGACACAGAGTAATATGCTCTTCCTCCTCCTATCTAGCTGGTACCTAAAGGCCCTGCAGATTGCTCCTAAGAATGGACGACCTTACAACCAGCTGGCCCTGCTGGCTGTCTACACGGTGAGAGAGGGAGGGATGGAGGAATGAAGAGATAAAGGGAGAGGGAGAGAACTCTACATTTGTGTGGCAAAGCCAAGATTCTGAGAGAGAAAACTGACCGACACAAGAAATATCACATATTTTTCTCCATCTCACCCTCTCTTCTCTCTCTCTCTCTCTCTCTCTCTCTCACTTCTCTCTCCCTCTCTCTCTCTCACCTCTCTCTCTCTCTCTCTCTCTCTCTCTCTCTCTCTCTCTCTCTCCCTTCTCTATGTCTCTCAATTTCTCAATTAAAGGGCTTTATTGCCATGGGAAACATATGTTAACATTGCCAAAGCAAGTGAAATAGCTAATAAACAAAAGTGAAATAAACCAACAAAAAAATATATATTAACTGTAAACATTACACTCACACAAGTTCCAAAATAATAAAGACATTTCAAATGTCATATTATGTATATATACAGTGTTGTATCAATGTGCAAATAGTTAAAGTAACAAAAGGGAAAAATAACTATACATAAATATGGGTTGTATTTACAATGGTGTTTGTTCTGGTTTCCCTGCTCTCTCTCTCCTCTTCTCCTTTTCCCTTTTTTGCCCAAAATTTGGGGTTTTTTTTTTTCCCAAAAAAAATACCCCATTTTTAACCCCCCCTTTTTTTTTTCTTACCTTCTTTCCCCCTTCTTTCCCTCTTCTCTCCTTTTTCTCCCCCTCTCTTAGAAAAGGAAGTTGGAGGTGTTTTACAATGGAGCCTGGCTGCCCCAAAAACCCCTCCTACGCCAAGGAGAGCCTTAGAGTTGTTTTTAAGAGGCAAAAGCAAGGGGGACACAAAAACCTACGTACAGTCAAAACCCAGTAATGTTTAATTGACAAACAAAACCCAACCCCCAAGCTTTTAATAAAAACATTGATTTTGTGATCCCCTTTCCCCTGTGTATAATGTATACATGACCTCCACCCTGACCCATTGACCTTTCTCCCCCCAGGCGGACCAGATGGAGCGAAGGAGGAAGCAGGAGTGGGAGGGGGGGTCCAGGGGCCCGGGGATCCGAGGAGGACGGGGGGAGGAGGGGTCCAGGGTGGAGATCTGGGTTCACCCTATCGCCCAGGCAGGGGCTCCGTCGTCACACCGCGGGGGCAGCGAGTCCAGCAGAGACTCTGAACAGGAAGGAGAGCTGGGCAACCTCAGCGCTAGTGATGTGAGTAGAACACGCTGACACACACACACACACACACCATGCACGCATGCACATTCTCACACACACACCCACCATGCACGCATGCACACACACACACACACACCATGCACGCATGCACATTCACACACATACACACACACCATGCACGCATGCACATTCACACACACCATGCACGCATGCACATTCACACACATTCACACTTTTTATGGCTTATCTGCAGCTTCTCTTCTGGTTCTTTTATACTGGATTTTGTTTGTACTCCTCTGTCTCTGTCTGTGTGTCTCTGTCTGTGTGTCTCTGTCTGTGTGTCTCTGTCTGTGTGTCTCTGTCTGTGTGTCTCTGTCTGTGTCTCTGTCTGTGTGTCTCTGTCTGTGTGTCTCTGTCTGTGTGTCTCTGTCTGTGTGTCTCTGGCTGTGTGTCTCTGTCTGTGTGTCTCTGTGTGTGTCTCTGTCTGTGTGTCTCTGTCTGTGTGTCTCTGTCTGTGTGTCTCTGTCTGTTTGTCTCTGTGTGTGTCTCTGTCTGTTTGTCTCTGTGTGTGTCTCAGGCACCAGAAGAAGTGTATTTTATGGCAGCCATACACAAACACACTCTGAAATGGTGGGACACACGACCTCTGCCTCTCTCTCTGTCTGCCTCTTTCTCTGCATCTCTCTCTCTGTCTGCCTCTCTCTCTCTCTCTCTCTGTCTGCCTCTCTCTCTCTCCTCTATCTCTCTCTCTCTCTCTCTCTGTTGCCTTCTCTCTCTCTCTCTCTGTCTGCCCTCTCTCTCTTCTCTCTCTCTCTCTGCCTCTCTCTCTCTCTCTCTTCTCTCTCTCTTGCCTGCATCTCTCTCGGTCTGACCTTTCTTATCTGCTGTCTGCTCTCTCCCTCTCCTCTGTCTGCCTCTCTCTCTCTGGTCTGAAATCTCTCTCTCTGTATGCCTCTGTATGTCGTCTGTCGCTCTCTCTCTCTGTTGTCTGCCTTTCTCTCGCTCTGCTGACCTTTCTCTATCTGTCTGCCTCTCGCTCTTTCTCTGTATGTTTGTCGATTTTTACCAGATTCCGGATCATATTTCCCTCTTTCCACACACATACTAGAGATGTTTTCTCTCCCAGGAAGTGGAGTGGGTGTCTCTGTGACCCACCCTCTCCCCCCCACTCTGTAGCGGACAGACGGTGCATCGTGGGCCGACGGCCATTGCCATATCATGGAGATACTAATTGAAAACACACAGACTCTCATCCTCATGCAGAAACACACATGCGCATAATTTCTTAGAAGTTACTGAAGAACTATACTCTCCTCTCTGTGTGTCTATCTCTCTCTCGCTTCGTGTGTCTCTCCTCTCGCTCTATCTCTCCTGTGTCTCGCTCATCTTCTCTCTCTCTTGTCTCTCTCTGTTCTTCTCTTCTATCTCTGGGTGTCTCTCTATTCTCTCTCCTTGCTGTCTCTCCTCTCTGTCTCTCTCTTGTTATCTCGGCTCGCGCTCTCTCTCAATTCAATTTAAGGGCTTATTGGCATGGGAAACATTATGTTAACATTGCCAAAGCAAGTGAAGTAGAGTAGATAGTAAACAAAGTGAAATAACAATAAATATTAACAGTAAACATTACACTCAGAAGTTTAAAAGATGGAAAGACCCCATTTCAAATGTCATAGTAGGTTATATATTACAGGTTGTTGAACAATGTGCAAATAGTTAAAGTACAAAAGGAAAATAAATAGAAAAATAAATAAACATAAATATGGGTTGTATTTACAATGGTGTTTGTTCTTCACTGGTTTCCCTTTTCTTGTGGCCAACAGGTCACAAATTCTTGCAGCTGTGATGGCACACTGGTGGTTTTCACCCAGTAGAGATAAGGGAGTTTAATCAAACTTGGGTTGTGTTCGAATTCTTTGTGGATCGCTTGTTGTAATTCGAGGGAAATATGGTCTCTAATATGGTCATACATTTGGGCAGGAGGTTAGGAAGTGCAGCTCAGTTTCCACCTCATTTTGTGGGCAGTGTTCTCTCTCTCTCTCTCTCTCTCTCTCTCTCTCTCTCTCTCTCTCTCTGTCTCTCTCTCTCTCTCTGTCTCTCTCTCTCTCTCTGTCTCTCTGTCTCTCTCTCTGTCTCTCTGTGTGTGTGTCTCCAAGACTCATTTACTCTTAATTTATTTTTCTCTCATCTCTCCTTTCTTTTTGTTTTCTGATGGAAGTTGGCCTGTAGTCAGATTCTCTCATTCCCTCTCCTTTCTGCACAGTCCCCTTCATCTAGCTGTTATAACCAGTGTATTAACCAGTCCCCTTCATCTAGCTGTTATAACCAGTGTTATAACCAGTGCCCTTCATCTAGCTATTATAACCAGTGTATTAACCAGTCCCCTTCATCTAGCTGTATTAACCAGTCCCCTTCATTTAGCCAATGTAACCCATGTATTAACCAGTCCCCTTCATTTAGCTGATGTAACCAGTGTTATAACCAGTCCCCTTCATCTAGCTATTATAACCAGTGTATTAACCAGTCCCCTTCACCTAGCTGCTATAACCAGTCCCCTTCACCTAGCTGCTAAAACCAGTGGTGTAGTTCTGTTGTTTACCTCAACTGTGGCACTAATACCAAGGCCAATGATGTCACAGACCAAGAAATAGCATTTAACAATGAAAGATGATGACAGGACAATCGATGAAAGACTGCGTGACTCATCAGTGCTCTGTTGTTCCCGTCTCTCTGGTTTTCTCTGCAGCTCAATAAGAGGTTCATACTCAGCTTCCTCCACGCTCACGGAAAACTCTTCACTAAAGTGGGGTGAGTACTCTGCCTTGTGTGTTTGCGTGCGTACATATGAGTGTACAAGCTTGTTTTTTTATGTCGTCAATAAAATATGTAGACTTCATTTTCTGTAGCCTGTCGCAGACAGCTTTTTTTTTTTTTACTAGCACTGATTATGATGATAGCTGCTGTTTAAGTAGAGAGATTTTGCTTCCAATCACTGTGATATGTGGTTGTCTTTCTTAACTCAGTTGAATGCACTGTCTGTAAGTCTCTCTGGATAAGTAGTGTCTGTTCAGTGAGTAACACTCAATGTGTTGCAGTATGGAGTCTTTCCCGGCGGTGGCCAGTCGTGTTCTCCAGGAGTTCCGAGCGCTGCTCCAACACAGCCCCTCCCCCCTGGGCAGCACGCGCATGTTACAGATCATCACCATTAACATGTTCACTATACACAACGCTCAGAGCAGAGGTAACACACACACAATTGTAACCTTGTGCAAAAACACTCAAGTCTATGACTAAATGTTTCTCTCTCTCTTTCTGTCTCGCTCTCTCTCTTTCTGTCTCGCTCTCTCTGTCTCTCTCTCTCTCTTTCTTTCTCTCTTTCTCTCTCTCTCTTTCTCTCTCCTTTCTTTCTCTCTTTATCTCTCTCTTTATTTCTCTCTCTCTCTCTCTCTCTCTATTTCTCGCGCTCTCTCTCTGCTACTCTCTCTTCTGTCTCTCTCTCTCTCGCTCTCTCTCTGTCTGTCTATATCTCTATTTAGCTCTCTTCTTTCTCTCTGTCTCTCTCTCTCTCTATTTCTATCTCTCTCTTCTTTCATATCTCTCGCATCTCTCTCCGCTCTCTCTAGCTATATAATATCTATGTCTCGTGGCTCTGTCTATCTCTATATGATGTATATGTCTATGTAGCGTATCTCTGCGCTCTATCTCGCTCTCTCCGCTCTCTCTCTGTCCGCTCTCTGTATCTCGCTCTCTGTATCGCTCTCGTTTCTAAATCTCTAGAGCATCGAGGGGACTCAGAGTACTATATGATGTAGAGAGCGTAGCTGATATAGAGGAGAGAGCTAGAGAGAGAGAGAGGGGAGAGATATGAGAGAGGGGTAGCGCGATGGGCTCGTCGGGCGAAAGTCGAGATAGCGCGTGGGAGATACTCGTATATCTCTCTTATGTATCTGTTTGGGTATATATCTCGGGTAGAAAGTATCTTATATCGATCTTATCTAGTACTCTGTCTCCTCCTCTGTAGAGTTTTGTATCTATTCTATAGATCTCTCTCTTTCGATTCTCTCTGTCTCTCTCTGTCTGTCTCTCTCTTCTTTCTCTCTTGCTCTCTTTCTTTCTCTATTTCTCTCCTCTCTCTCTCTCTGTCTCTCTCTCCTATCTGTCTAATGTTCTCTGTCTCTGTCTCTCCTCTCTGTCTCTGTCTCTCTGTCTCTCTCTCTCTCTCTAGGGGGAGATGGTGAGGTGAGGTCTGTGTTACAGGAGCAGACAACAGCTCTGGGTCTGGCCATGTTCTCTCTGCTGGTCCAACGCTGCACAGAGCTGCTGAGAGACACACCCGCAGGTACACACTCACACATACACACACACACACACACACACACACACACCCGCAGGTACACACTCACACATACACAACACACACACACACACACACACACACACACACCCGCAGGTACACACTCACACATACACACACACACACACACACACACACACACACACACACCCGCAGGTACACACTCACACACACACACACACACACACAAACACACACGCAGGTACACACACACACACACACACACCCGCAGGTACACACACACACACACACACAACCCGCAGGGTACACACTCACACATACACACACTCACACATACACACACACCACACACACACACGCAGGGTACACACACACACACACACACACACACACACACACACACCCGCAGGTACACACTCACACATACACACACTCACACATACACACACACACACACACACAACACGCAGGTACACACACACACAACACACACACACACACACACACACCCGCCAGGTACACACTCACACATACACACACTCACACATACACACACACACACACACACACACCCGCAGGTAAACACACACACACACACACACACACACACACACATTGAGAGAAGCTACGTCTTCCTGGCTATAACACCGGGGCTCGCATTCCATTTCCTCAATTCAGTGCCGCTCTTCAGCGAGCCCAAACCCCCTGACGGCGCAGGGAATAGTAGTTATATTCATAGCTGTACATTCCCTCTCAGTCGGTCACTCTTTATAACATACGGGGACACGCCACCAAGCCGGCACAGAGGGTACATAACTAGGAGGCCGACGGCAGCCGAAGAACACACAGGTTCCACCAGTTCCTAAAGGGGACCTTTTTCCCTAAGACTTACCTGAGAAGTCTGAACTGTCAGAGGCCCATACCAGAACCAGAACCTGCTGCAGCTTGGGTCTGCACACTGACACGCTGCAGCCCAAGTCCCTGGACCCCACGGTTCCAAGAACAACACTTACCTTGCGAGCCTGAAATGTACAACCCGCAAGTCCAAAACAACAGAACACCCTGACGTGGCTTGGTAAAGCACACGCACGCTGCATAGCGTCGACCAGAGTTGATGAGCCACGGCAGGCCGAGGTTCAAACCCACGGGAAACCTGCAGTAACCCTGGAAACTGTGTACTCGTGTGCGCTGCCACGACACCCCAAGGAGCACGGGAGAATTTGGCACCCACGACTGCAGATATGAATTTGATGGCTGTGGGTTTACAGTCGGCGTGTGCACCCTCTACGAGAGGGTTGTATAAGTAAGTGGCGCGCGTTTGAGGGTTGGTGTCAGGTTGAAGGAGTTTCTCCTTTTTCAGAGCTCTTTGGGGGACATGTTGATGTTCTTGCTAAAGCTTTGTGAGCAGGGCCTTTCTTTTTCCACATTGAAGGTTTATATGGCAGCCATCCCAATGACACGGAACCCCCTATGGGGTTGCTCGCTGTTTATTATCTGTGCATAGTCACTTTACCCCTACCTACATGTACAAATTACCCCGACTAACCTGTACCCCCGCAAATTGACTCGGTACCGGTACCCCCCGTATAAAGCCTCATCATTGTAATTTTATTGTGTTACTTTTTATTTTATTTTTTTACTTTAGTTTATTTAGTAAATATTTTCTTAACTCTATTTCTTGAACTACATTGTTGGTTAAGTGCTTGTAAGTAAGCATTTCATGGTAAAAACCTGTTGTATTCGGCGCATGTGACGAATAAAATTTGATTTGATTATGGGTTGCCGCCCAAAAGGCGGATGATCTCTAGGAACCAGGGTTGTCTGGCCCAATAGGAAGCCACCAAAATCAACTACAGACCCTCCACGGTGGCCTGAATCAGGTCCATCAGAGGAACGCATAGAGCAGGGTTCCGAGGCCACTGATACGCCAAAGCATCCGATCCCAACGGAGCGCCCAGATCCCTTATTGAGAAGAGCAGACTGCAATGCGGGTTTTCTCGCGATGCGTTAGATCTATGTTGGCCCATATCTGGGGTGCAGTCTCCACTCCGTAGAGATAGGAACCCCCCCCCCCCCCCCCCCCCGGAAAGTAGCTCCGCACCCACGTTGAGAGATTGACCGAGCCACTTGGGAGCACTGTTGCCACAGTAAATGTTTGGGGAGGAGGGCCCCGAGCCAAACAACCTTGTTGGCGAAACTGGCTCATTCAAATATATCCGCCTGTCCCTCTCAGGAATCCAGAGAAGAGGCACTGTTTATTCAGAAGCACCGTGCTAGGAGTAGCCCCCTTGTTAGCCTCTGGATCGAAGGAAATCACTCACTCGTTTGCTAAATCTTTAAGCACTCACTCAATCACTCATTTGCTACATCTTTAAGCACTCACTCAATCACTCATTTGCTAAATCTTTAAGCACTCACTCAATCACTCATTTGCTAAATCTTTAAGCAGTCACTCACTCACTCATTTGCTAAATCTCACTCACTCACTCAGAGCCCTTCCCGGAGGAGGAGAGAGAACAGGGGGATGAGGAGGAGGGGATGGTGAGAGTTTCTGCCTTCCCATTGGACCTGAGGGAGCTGCTGCCCAGCGTCAAGGTCTGGTCTGATTGGATGCTTGGACACCCCAACCAATGGAATCCTCCGCCTTGTAGTATAGAGTAAGTACACACACACCCACACACAGGATGAGCAATTTTTTCCTGTTTGTTGCCTGGGTGGGTGGAGTTAGCGCTCAATTTAAAACGTAATAGACTTTTAATTTAAAAGATTCTAACCGACACTCTCTCCTCTCCCAGCTGTAGTCCTGATGTGTGGCGTAGCCTGGCAGACCTGTGTAATGCGTTGGCACGTGTCGACCACGGCGAGGCGCCGCTGTACAAGGCAGACGGGGACGGAGGGGAGGGGGACGAGGAGCTCCGCCTGCTGCTGTTGGAGGAGGACAGGCTATTGGCCGGCTTCGTCCCGCTGCTCGCCGCCCCGCAGGAACCCTGCTACATAGACTGCACCGGGGATACCGTGAGTTTATACACCATACACACACACACACACTCACACTCACAGAACCATATCATTAGACCTATAGTCTCTCTCTGTCTCTCTTCCCCCCACCCCCAGGTGATAGCCGCTGACTGTAAAAGGGTAACGGTGTTGAAGTATTTCCTGGAGGCTCTGTGTGGACAGGAAGAGCCTCTCCTGGCCTTTAAAGGAGGGAAGTATGTCTCCATGGCAACCTCTCCCCGCCCCGGCGACGCACGCAGCAGACAGGACTCACAGACCGAGAGAGAGGTGTGTGTCCATCTCTGTCCTCTGTGTCTCACTGGTTTTTATCCAAAGAACTGAGTTACACAGCCGATTCAACTGTGTATTTCTTAATGCTGACCTCACAACATTGATTTCCATGTAAATGGACAGTTATCATATCGCAACTAGTCACCTTCATGAAGACCATGGTTAGCTGAATCGCGTGTCTATGTTTTGTATCATCTACTAACATGTCCTCTTCTTCTGTGGCTGTGTCGCAGAGTGATGATGTCATCGTGGAGGCAGAGTCGTCCGTGTCGGACGGGGACGGTGATGATGGCAGTGAGGATGACATCCGAGAGCTCCGGGCCCGACGCAGCGCCCTCACCAACGAACTGGCTCAGCAGCAGAGACGCAGGGAAAAGATACAGGTAACGCACGCACTATGCATATATATATATATATATATATATATATATATATATAATAAGGCCTTACTTAATACAGTGGCCTGAAACTTAAGGTTTTATGATGGCTTGCGAAGTGATATGTGTACAGTGCCTTGCAAAAATATTCATCCCCCTTGGTGTTTTTCCTATTTTGTTGCATTACTACCTGTCATTTAAATGGATTTTAAATTTGGATTTCATGTAATGGACATACACAAAATAGTCCAAATTGGTGAAGTGAAATAAAAAAAATAAAAAAAATAATACAAAAAATTTATAACGGAAAAGTGGTGCGTGCATATGTATTCACCCCCTTTGCTATGAAGCTCCTAAATAAGATCTGGTGCAAACAATTACCTTCAGAAGTCACATAATTAGTTAAATGAAGTCCACTTGTGTGCAATCTAAGTGTCACATGATCTGTCACATGATCTCAGTATATATACACCTGTTCTGAAAGGCCCCAGAGTCTGCAACACCACTAAGCAAGGGGCACCACCAAGCAAGCGGCACCATGAAGACCAAGGAGCTCTCCAAACAGGTCAGGGACAAAGTTGTGGAGAAGTACAGATTAGGGTTGGGTTATAAAAAAATATCCAAAACTTTGAACATTCCACGGAGCACCATTAAGTCCATTATTAAAAAATTGAAAGAATATGGCACCACAACAAACCTACCAAGAGAGGGCCGCCCACCAAAACTCACGGACCAGGCAAGGAGGGCATTAATCAGAGAGGCAACAAAGAGACCAAAGATAAACCTGAAGGAGCTGCAAAGCTCCACAGTGGAGATTGGAGTATCTGTCCATAGGACCACTTTAAGCCGTGCACTCCACAGAGCTGGGCTTTATGGAAGAGTGGCCAGAAAAGAGCCATTGCTTAAAGAAAGAAGTAAGCAAACACGTTTGGTGTTCGCCAAAAGGCATGTGGGAGACTCCCCAAATATATGGAAAAAGGTACTCTGGTCAGATGAGACTAAAATTTTGCTTTTTGGCCATCAAGGAAAACGCTATGTCTTGCGCATACCCCAAGAGACTTGCAGCTGTAATTGCTGCAAAAGGTGGCTCTACAAAGTATTGACTTTGGGGGGGTGAATAGTTATGCACGCTCAAGTTTTCAGTTTTTTTGTCTAATTTTGCATCTTCAAAGTGGTAGGCATGTTGTGTAAATCAAATGATACAACCCCCCCCAAAAATCCATTTTAATTCCAGGTTGAAAGGCAACAAAATAGGAAAAATGCCAAGGGGGGTGAATACTATCACAAGCCACTGTATAGACACACACTATATACAGTGAGGGAAAAAAGTATTTGATCCCCTGCTGATTTTGTACGTTTGCCCACTGACAAAGAAATGATCAGTCTATAATTTTAATGGTAGGTTTATTTGAACAGTGAGAGACAGAATAACAACAAAAAAATCCAGAAGAATGCATGTCAAAAATGTTATAAATTGATTTGCATTTTAATGAGGGAAATAAGTATTTGACCCCCTCTCAATCAGAAAGATTTCTGGCTCCCAGGTGTCTTTTATACAGGTAACGAGCTGAGATTAGGAGCACACTCTTAAAGGGAGTGCTCCTAATCTCAGCTTGTTACCTGTATAAAAGACACCTGTCCACAGAAGCAATCAATCAATCAGATTCCAAACTCTCCACCATGGCCAAGACCAAAGAGCTCTCCAATGATGTCAGGGACAAGATTGTAGACCTACACAAGGCTGGAATGGGCTACATGACCATGGCCAAGAAGCTTGGTGAGAAGGTGACAACAGTTGGTGCGATTATTCGCAAATGGAAGAAACACAAAAGAACTGTCAATCTCCCTCGGCCTGGGGCTCCATGCAAGATCTCACCTCGTGGAGTTGCAATGATCATGAGAACGGTGAGGAATCAGCCCAGAACTACACGGGAGGATCTTGTCAATGATCTCAAGGCAGCTGGGACCATAGTCACCAAGATAACAATTGGTAACACACTACGCCATGAAGGACTGAAATCCTGCAGCGCCCGCAAGGTCCCCCTGCTCAAGAAAGCACATATACAGGCCCGTCTGAAGTTTGCCAATGAACATCTGAATGATTCAGATGAGAACTGGGTGAAAGTGTTGTGGTCAGATGAGACCAAAATTGAGCTCTTTGGCATCAACTCACCTCGCAGTGTTTGGAGGAGTAGGAATGCTGTCTATGACCCCAAGAACACCATCAAACATGGAGGTGGAAACATTATGCTTTGGGGGTGTTTTTCTGCTAAGGGGACAGGACAACTTCACCGCATCAAAGGGACGATGGACGGGGCCATGTACCGTCAAATCTTGGGTGAGAACCTCCTTCCCTCAGCCAGGGCATTGAAAATGGGTTGTGGATGGGTATTCCAGCATGACAATGACCCAAAACACACGGCCAAGGCAACAAAGGAGTGGCTCAAGAAGAAGCACATTAACGTCCTGGAGTGGCCTAGCCAGTCTCCAGACCTTAATCCCATAGAAAATCTGTGGAGGGAGCTGAAGGTTCGAGTTGCCAAACGTCAGCCTCGAAACCATAATGACTTGGAGAAGATCTGCAAAGAGGAGTGGGACAAAATCCCTCCTGAGATGTGTGTAAACCTGGTGGCCAACTACAAGAAACGTCTGACCTCTGTGATTGCCAACAAGGGTTTTGCCACCAAGTACTAAGTTATGTTTTGCAGAGGGGTCAAATACTTATTTCCCTCATTAAAATGCAAATCATTTTATAACATTTTTTACATGCATTTTTCTGGATTTTGTTGTTGTTATTCTGTCTCTCACTGTTCAAATAAACCTACCATTAAAATTATAGACTGATCATGTCTTTGTCAGTGGGCAAACGTACAAAATCAGCAGGGGATCAAATACTTTTTTCCCTCACTGTACACATGATATACACATATACACACACTATATACACATATACACACACTATATACACATGTATACACACTATATACACTATATACACATGTATACACACTATATACACGCTATACACACACTATATACACATATACACACTGTCGTGACGTACCTTTCATTATTGTGATGGTGGTGTATTGAGAAATGTATTATGTGTTAATGAGTTTAGATTTAAAATGGTTGCAAGTAGCCAATGGGATTTGTATGCAGCGGTTGAGTTATCTGAATTAACAAATGACAATGGGGTTTCCGTTCTTGCATTGAAGTGATTGGATTACGTGATGCAAGGGGGGGGGGTGAAAGTTCAATGATGTATTGGGGAGTTGGGCTGAAGACACTGTAGAGAGTGGTCGACTGGAATGTGTTAAGGAGAACATGAAATAAATCAGTTGTGGTTATTATAAGTACGCTTCGGAGTCTTCAGTAAAAGAACCCAGCATCTTAGGACGCAACATTGATGACTATTATTTATCGAATAATTAACTACTATGTTTAATTGTTACTAGATTAAATTAATTTACATTTACATCATTTAGCATTTTTTTTTCTCATGTAATAATTAACTCATTAGGTATTTGGGGCACCACGGGAAAAGTTGTTTAACGAGTTACCGTTTCCCGAATTAACTCTAAAGATATCTTGATATCTCTTATAATTTAACAGTCATTTATTAATAATTTACCTCATATCAGTCTCATTCTGAAAGTAGGCTCTTTAAGAACGCGGGTCTTACTGATCATTCCGTACCACAGAAATTGATTTAATGATTGATTTACTAATTAATTAAAAATTATAACACAAGATACAAACACATACACGGTATAGGTAGGGATTAGAAACTTAACACAATGAAAACGGGTCCCTAGCGGACTAACACAATATGACATTTGTTACAAAATATGGCGATTTAAAGAGAGAGAGAGAGAGTGAGAGAAAACACTTGGATACACATGGACCTAAGCTCATAGTAATCCTAATACTTTGCCCAGAACTGCCGCCCGTTTGGTAAGAAGTAATGCATGTATTTACGTGTTTGTCTTCGTCGTCTCTGTTGGACCCAGGCCTTCGTGGGAAGGGGTCGATTGGGCCTCCTCTTTTCGGATGGCCTTTTAGATGTAAGGTGCAGATGTAAGGCTCAGATTGTACCACTAGAGGTCACGATGTCCTCCTTCTTAGTCGTCTGTTTACTTTCACTCGTTCTGGGAAGTGGTCTTCTGAGGACGGCTAATCGGCCGTGTCGATGATCCCCTGTGGGGTGATGAGAGCAGTGTAGTAGACGATGGCTTGAAGAGAGTAACAGGATGGTCCCACTTAAAATCACCTTCTTAGATACAGTCCTTAGAACAGCTACTCAGCCGTAACGTTGGTTGTTAGTGGAGGCAACTTTGTCGTCTTCACCTCGTGTTGATTTTCAGGGTCGGGGACCAATAAGGACAACAGCTGCAGCTTGAGGTCCGTCTAGTCTGATCTGATCATTCTTATCTCAGTCTTTTTATGCACTCTGGTAAAGAGGGGCGTTTCCGTCATACTGACGCGCTCTCTGAGCTCCCTCGGGCGTGGCTAGTTACGACGGAAAAGTATTTTTATCACTATGATCTTGTTAGAAAGCTAAAATCTCATTCCTATCTTCACGAAAACATTGTCTTCCTCCTTGATATTTTCTACCCAAGGTAAAGATGTAAACCTGATATACACAGTGTAAAAGCTCTTCAAGTCACAACGTTTTCGTTATAACGCCTTTATACCATTTTTAATGACATCACAAAATAAACATTAATTTTCCATATTCCATTTCTCATCATTCCCAACGTTTTGGATGTTGAAATATATTGTCCCAATGTTCATTGTTGGATGTTGGAAGTTTTTGGGCGGCAAAAGTCTCTGAAACAAAGGACATTCCTTTCACCATACCACAGGGCCAGAGATGGATTATCCTCCTCTCTAATCTATGGCAGTATTAAGGTGTCAAGACCTGCACACCCCCCCCCCCCCCCCCCCCCCCCCTCTAAGAGTCTGGTTGTTGTCGGCCATTTTCCAAGCTGATATGAGGCCTTTGATCCTCACCCAGGGAGAGTCATGACAACACAATACACACACAGGCTATACATAGGGACACACAGATCTGGGGACTCTGCAGATATATGCCTTGTGTCCTGATTTCCTGTGGGTCTTAAAACCTGTCTGTGCGTTAACTTGTTTGTATGCTTGTGTGTAAATACACCGTAGGGCCTGGGGAGATACCAGTATCGCAAATATCTTTTCCGTGGCAAAAAATAAATAAAAGACGAAGCAGACCAAACTCTTTGATCATTAAAAACCTACTGTATGTAACGTATTGTGTGCTATAGCTTGGAAAATAAATCAACAACGACTGGGTGACAACATCATGATGTTTGTTTCCAACATTAGGGCAATTGTCCTAATGAAGTTAAATCCGCTTCCGGTTTTGTTTCCTTGCCACGATACTAATGACTATCGCGATACCCTGTCCCTAGTAATAAATAATAATAATAATATGCCATTTAGCAGACGCTTTTATCCAAAGCGACTTACAGTCATGTGTGCATACATTTTTTTTGTGTATGGGTGGTCCCGGGGATCGAACCCACTACCTTGGCGTTACAAGCGCCGTGCTCTACCAGCTGAGCTACAGAGGACCACTATATACTATATGTAACGTGTGTGTGTGTGTGTGTGTGTGTGTGTGTGTGTGTGTGTGTGTGTGTGTGTGTGTGTGTGTGTGTGTGTGTGTGTGTGTGTGTGTGCGTGTGCGTGTGCGTGTGTGTGTGCGTGTGCGTGGTGTTTTCCTCTGTCCAGGCGGTGTTACAGACGTGTGGTCAGTTGGAGTTAGAGGTGCGTCCTCTTTTCCTGGTCCCCGACACCAACGGTTTCATCGACCACCTTACGGGCCTCAAGACACTGCTGCATTCTGGGACTTACATTGTGGTGGTGCCCCTCATAGGTAAATAACACACAAACAAAACACATACTGAATTAAATCGACCACCTCACCGGCCTCAAAAAAAACCCGCTTCTGCAGTCTGGGATGTTTCCTAGAGGTGGTGACCTTTATAGGTCACTAACACACACACAGAGTTCATCGACCACCTCATCAAAACACTTCAGTCTGGGACGTACAGTGCCTTCAGAAAGTATTCACACCCCTTGACTTTTTCCACATTTTTGCTGTGTCACAGCCTGAATTTTTAAAATGGATTCCATTTAGATGTTGTGTCACTGGCCTACACACAATACACCCATAATGTCAAAGTGGAATTATGTTTGTAGAAATGTTTACAAATTAATTAAAAGTGAAAAGCTGAAATGTCTTGAGTCAATAAGTATTCAACACCTTTGTTATGGCAGGCCTAGATAAGAGCAGGAGTTCAAATGTGTTTAACAAGTCACATAATAAGTTGCATGGACTTACTGTGTGCAATAATACTCTTTAACATGATTTTTTTTATTACTACCTCATCTCTGTACCCCACACATACAATTATATGTAAGGTCCCTCAGTCGAGCAGTACATTTCAAACACAGATTCAACAACAAAGACCAGGGAGGTTTTCCAATGCCTCGCAAAGTAGGGCACCTACTGGTAGATGGGTAAAAAAAAAAAGCAGACATTGGATATCCCTTTGAGCATGGTGAAGTTATTAATTACACTTTGGATGGTGTATCAATACACCCAGTTACTACAAAGATTAAGGTGTCCTTCCTAACTCAGTTGCCGGAGAGGAAGGAAACCGTTCAGGGATTTCACCATGAGGCCAATGGTGACTTTAAAACAGTTACAGAATTGAATGGCTGTGATAGCAGAAAACTGAGGATGGATCAACAACATTGTAGTTACTCCACAATACTAACCTAAATGACAGAGTGAAAAGAAGGAAGCCTGTACAGAATACTAATATTACTAAACATGCATCCTGTTTGCAATAAGGCACTAAAGTAAAACTGCAAAAAAAGTGGCAAAGAAATTACCTTTATGTCCTGAATACAAAGTGTTATGTTTGGGGCAAATCCAACACAACACCACTCTTCCTATTTCCAAGCATGGTGGTGGCTGCATTATGTTATGGGTTTGCTTGTCATCGGAAAGGACTAGGGAGTTTTTTGGGATAAAAATAAACTGAATAGAGCTAAGCACAGGCAAAATCCTAGAGGAAAACCTGGTTCAGTCTGCTTTCCAACAGACACTGGGAGACATTCACCTTTCAGCAGGACAATAACCTCAAACACAAGGCCAAATATACACTGGAGTTGCTTACCAAGACAACGTGGAATGTTCCTGAGTGGCCTGGTTACAGTTTTGACTTAAATCGGCTTAAAAAGCTATGGCAAAACTTGTACATGGCTGTCTAGCAATGATCAACAACCAACTTGACAGTGCTCTTGAGAATTTTTTAAAGAATACTGTGCAAATATTGTACAATCCAGGTGTGCAAAGCTCTTAGAGACTTACCCAGAAAGACTCACAGCTGTAATCGCTGCCAAAGGTGATTCTAACATGTAGACTCAGGGGGTTGAATACTTATGTAATTTATTTTTCAATAAATTTGCTAGAATGTCTAAAAACATGTTTTCACTTTGTCATTATGGGATATTGTGTGTAGATGTGTAAGATAATTATAATTGTTTTAATTCATTTTTAGTTCAGGCTGGAACACAGCATTTAATGTGGAGTAAGTCAACTGGTATGAATAATGTCTGAAGGCACTTTCCATACTGGTGGTGCCCCTCATATGTGAGACTGAGAGATGGAGGGAGTAGAGCCCTGCACGGGGCATGAAATGTAAGCCTGAGCCCTACCCATTCACACGTTCAGTCCCTGCCCTGCCCTACCCTGCCCTGCCGTACGCTGCCCTGCCCTACCCTACGCTGCCCTGCCCTACCCTACGCTGCCCTACCCTGCCCTTCCCTGCTCTGCCCTACCCTGCCCTGCCCTACCCTACGCTGCCCTACCCTACGCTGCCCTACCCTACGCTGCCCTGCCCCGCCCTACCCTGCTGTGCCCTACCCTATCCTGCTCTGCCCTACCCTACCCTACCCTGCCCTACCCTACCCTGCCCTACCCTGCCCCACCCTACCCTTCCCTACCCTGCCCCACCCTTCCCTACCCTGCCCTGCCCTGACCTAGTCCTACTGCTAATTATCAAAATCAAGAAAATAGCAATTCAGTTCTCAAACCTTCCACCACAAAGCCCTGACCTACAGAGAGATGAAACTGGAGAAGAGTCCCCTCAGCTAGCTGGTATGGGGGCTCTGTTCACAAACAGGAAACTAAAAGATAGCTTCTTGACACATTAGAAAGATTTAACCAAAAAACGGAGCAAACTGGAATGTTACGTTACACAGTAGCAGAATACCTGACCGCTGTGACTGACCCCAAATTAAGGAAAGCTTTGACTATGTACAGACTCGGTGAGCATAGCCTTGCTATTGAGAAAGGCCGCCGTAGGCAGACCTGGCTCTCAAGAGAAGACAGGCTATGTACCCACTGCCCACAAAATTAGGTGCAAACCGAGCTGCACTTCCTAACCTCCTGCCAACTGTATGACCATATTATTTGTATTTATTAGGGATCCCCGTTAGTTCCTGCCAAGGCAGCAGCTACTCTTCCTGGGGTTTATTAGGGATCCCCATTAGTTCCTGCCAAGGCAGCAGCCACTCTTCCTGGGGTTTATTATGGATCCCCGTTAGTTCCTGCCAAGGCAGCAGCTACTCTTCCTGGGATCCAAACACATTAAGGCACTTACAGTGCATTTGGAAAGTATTCAGACCTCTTGACCTTTTCAACAATTTGTTACGTTACAGCCTTATTCTAAAATGGATTAAAAAATATATAATTCTCATCCATCTACACACAATACCCCATAATGACAAAGCAAAAACAGGTTTTTAGAAATGTTTGCAAATTTATAAAAAATAAAGTGTGTGTATATATATATATATATATATATATGTATATATATATCACATTTACATAAGTATTCAGACCCTTTACTCAGTACTTTGTTGAAGCACCTTTGGCAGCGATTACAGCCTCGAGTCTTCTTTGGTATGACGCTACAAGCTTGGCACACCTGTATTCGGGGAGTTTGTCCCATTCTTCTCTGCAGATCCTCTCAAGCTCTGTCAGGTTGGTTGGGGAGCGTCGCTGCACACCTATTTTCAGGTCTCTCCAGAGATGTTTGATCGGGTTCAAGTCCGGGTTCTGGCTGGGCCACTCAAGGACATTCAGAGACTTGTCCCGAAGCCACTCCTGCATTGTCTCGGCTATGTGCTTAGGGTCATTGTCCTGTTGGAAGATGAACCTTCACCACAGTCTGAGGTCCTGAGCGCTCTGGAGAAGGTTTTCATCAAGGATTTCTCTGTACTTTGCTTCGTTCATCTTTCCCTCGATCCTGACTAGTCTCCCAGTCCCTGCCGCTGAAAAACATCCCCACAGCATGATGCTGCCACCACCATGCTTAACGTAGGGATGGTACCAGGTTTCCTCCAGATGTGACGCTTTGCATTCAGGCCAAATAATTCAATCTTGGTTTCATCAGACCAGAGAATCTTGTTTCTCTTGGTCTGAGGGTCTTTAGGTGCCTTTTGGCAAACTCCAAGCGGGCTGTCATGTGCCTTTTCCTGAGGAGTGGCTTCCGTCTGGCCACTCTACCATGAAGGTCTGATTGGTGGAGTGCTATAGAGATGGTTGTCCTTCTGGAAGTTTCTCCCATCTCCACAGAGGAACTCTAGAGCTCTGTCAGAGTGACCATCGGGTTCTTGGTCACCTCCCTGACCAAGGCACTTCTCCCCCGATTGCTCAGTTTGGCCGGGCGGCCAGCTCTAGGAAGAGTCTTGGTGGTTCCAAACATCTTACATTTAAGAATGATGGAGGCCACTGTGTTCTTGCGAATCTTCAATGATGCAGACATTTTTTGGTACCCTTCCCCAGATCTGTGCCTAGACACAATCCTGTCTCAGATCTCTATGGACAATTCCTTCGACCTCATGGCTTGGTTTTTGCACTGACATGCACTGTCAACTGTGGGACCTTATATAGACAGGTGTGTGCCTTTCCGTATCATGTCCAATCAATTGAATTTACTCCAATCAAGTTGTAGAAATATCTCAAGGATGATCAGTCAAAACAGGATGCACCTGAGCTCAATTTCGAGTCTCATAGCAAAGTGTCTGAATACTTATGTATTTAGTATACATTTGCAAAAATGTCTAAAAACCTGTTTTGTCATTATGGGGTATTGTGTGTAGATTGATGAGGAAAAACATTAATTTAATCCATTTTAGAATAAGGCTGTAACGTAACAAAATGTGGAAAAAGTCAAGGGGTCTGAATACTTTCCGAATGCACTGTACATTACATATAAAACAAAAGAGAAAACAGTACATCATATAACATTATTACACCACTACTAAAATACAAAATGTTAAATACCACCATACAACAATAATGCAATGTATGTGTGTGTAGAGTGCTAGCGTGAGTCTCTTCACAGTCCCCGTTGTTCCATAAGGGGTATTTGTACCTGTTTTTTTTTAAAATCTTATTCAGTTACCTGATGTGGAATAGAGTTCCATGTAGTCATGGCTCTATGTAGTACTGTGCGCCTCCCATAGTCTGTTCTGGACTTGGGGATTGTGAAGAGACCTCTGGTGGCATGTCTTGTGGGGTATGCATGGGTGTCTGAGCTGTGTGCTAGTAGTTTAAACAGACAGCTCGGTACATTCAGCATGTCAACACCTCTTACAAAAACAAGTAGGGACGAAGTCAATCTCACCTCCACTTTGAGCCATGAGAGATTTACATGCATGTCATTAATGTTATCTCTCTGTGTACATCCAAGGGCCAGCCGTGCTGCCCTGTTCTGAGCCAATTGTAATTTTCCTAAGTTCCTCTTTGTGGCACCTGACCACACGACTGAACAGTAGTCCAGGTGCGACAAAACTAGGGCCTGTAGGACCTGCCTTGTTGATAGTGCTGTTAAGAAGGTAGAGCAGCGCTTTATTATGGACAGACTTCTCCCCATCTTAGCTACGGTTGTATCAACATGTTTTGACCATGACAGTTTAACAATCCAGGGTTACTCCAAGCAGTTTAGTCACCTCAACTTGCTCAATTTCCACATTATTCATTACAAGATTTAGTTGAGGTTAAGGGTTTAGTTTTTAGTTTTTGAAATATTTAGGACTAACTTATTCCTTGCCACCCATTCTGAAACTAACTGCAGCTCTTTGTTAAGTGTTGCTGTCATTTCAGTCGCTGTGGTAGCTGACGAGTATAGTGTTGAGTCATCTGCATACATAGACACACTGGCTTTACTCAAGGCCAGTGGCATGTCATTAGTAAAGATTGAAAAAAGTAAGGGGCCTAGACAGCAGCCCTGGGGAATTCCTGATTCTACCTGGATTATGTTGGAGAGGCTTTCATTAAAGAACACCACGGACAAGTAACTCTTTATCCACATTATAGCAGGGGGTGTAAAAGCCATAACACATACGGTTTTATTTTTATTGTTCAGAGCAACAGTTAAGTCAGCCATCAATATCAGGTTTTAGGAGTTTCTTAGGGGAATGTTTAGTGCTGTGTTGACTGTCTTAGCCCCGCTCTTCCTCCCCCCTCCCCCTCCCCTCTTCTCTCCTCTCTCCTCTCTCCCTCCTCCCTCTCTTCTCTCCCTCCCCTCTCTTCTCTCCCTCCCCTTCTCTCCCTCCCCTCTCTTCTCTCCCTCCCCTATCTTCTCTCCCTCCCCTCTCTTCTCTCCCTCCCTCTTCTCTTCCCTCACCTCCCTCCTCTTCTCTCCCCTTCCCCTCCTCTTTCTCTCCCCTCCCTCCCTTTCTCTCTTCCTCCCCTCTCCTTTCCTCCCCTCCGCCTACTCTTCCTCTCCCTCCTCTTCTATCTCCCTCGGCCCTCATCTTCTCTCCCTCTCCTCCCTCCCTTCCTCCCCCCTTTTCTTCCTCGCTCTCTCACTGCCCGTCTTCTCTCTCCCTCTCTCTCCTCTCTCTCTCGCTCCCCTCTTTCTCCGCCCCATCTTCTCTCCCTCTGTCTCTCCCTCCCCTCTCTGCTTCTCATCCGCTCTTCTCTCTCTCTTCTCTCTTGCACCCGGCTCTTCTCTCTCTCTCTCGAGCTCTCTCCCGGCTCTCTCCAACGTCTCGTCTCTCTCCGTCCCTCTTCCCGGCTCCCCTCGTCTCTCCCCCTCCGCCTCCCCTCCTCTTTTCTCCAGTCCTCTTCTTTCTCTCCTTCCCCCGCTCTCGTCTCCCTCCTCCTCATTCCCTCCTCTTCCCATGCTTCTCTCCCTCTTATCTCTCCCTCCAGTGATAACAGAGTTGGATGGTTTGGCAAAGGGCCAGGAGAGCTGCGATGGCACCGTCGGTGGGCGTGGTGGCAGTGGTTCGTCGTGGAAACCCTGGTGGTGGGGGTGCAGCCCACGCCCGGGCTGTCCAGGAGAAGGCTAAGGTTGCCGTGGCGTTTCTGGAGCGAGGGTTCGAGGCCAGGGAGCCCTGTCTCAGAGCGCTGACCAGCAGAGGAAGTCAACTGGAGTCTATCGCCTTCCGGAGCGAAGACACCTCCGGACAACAGGTGTGTGTTTGTGTGACGTTTGTGGGTTTTGACGTGTTTATTAAAATGTCTGTCCAAGTACCCCAGATCCCCTGTCAAGTATATTACCATCTCTTGTATGTGAAATTAGAGTTTGGAGCAGTCAATTGACTGCAAGTCCAAAATGTCGTTTCAACCAATTCCGGGCTATCGTTGAAATTCTGCTTTAGATTTACTGGTGTCTCTCCCCACCCTCCAGGGGAACAATGATGATGTCATCTTGTCCTGCTGTCTCCACTACTGCAAAGATGAGGCTAAGAACTTCATGCCTGCACAAAGAGGTAGATATCGCCTCCCACCAACACACACACATATTGTAACATCATGCCTGTGTGTTACACAATAATGTGTCTATACTAATATATTTATTCTACCTCCCTCCCTCCCCTCTTCTCCCCCCCTCCCTCCCTCCCTCTTCTCCCCCCTCCCTCCCTCCCTCTTCTCCCCCCCTCCCTCCCTCCCTCTTCTCCCCCCCCCTCCCTCCCTCCCTCTTCTCTCCCCCCCCTCCCTCCCTCCCTCTTCTCTCCCCCTCCCTCCCTCTTCTCTCCCCCCTCCCTCCCTCTTCTCTCCCCCCTCCCTCTTCTTTCCTCTGTTCCAGACGGTCCGGTGCGCTTGCGTCGGGAGGTGGTTCTCCTAACAGATGACCGTAACCTGCGGGTCAAAGCCCTGACCAGGAATGTGCCGGTCAGGGACATCCCCTCCTTCCTCACCTGGGCCAAAGTGGGCTGAACCGGGTCACACCTTAGACCACGCCCAGAGCACCCATACAACCAATCAACTGCTGAGAACCGCTGGCCACCTCTCACACCACCTTGGAGTGGAGAAGGAGAATATACGCTAACGCAGAAGAGAAGACTGATGGAGAGAAGATTGATGGAGAGAGAGAGAAGGAGAAGAAACTCATTTTTTCGTGGAAAACCTCAAATGAAAACTAAAAAGTTTTTTTTTTGAGGGTGGAATGAGTTTAATTGGCTGAGATCTTTTTCTCCTCATTGTGGTGAGGGGTGTGTTAATTACCTCTCAGAGGGAGGAGAGGAGCAGAGAGAGTTTTAAGAGATGCAGGAAGGCTGGACCAAGAGGAACGGTAGAGGAGAGTGAGAGGAGAGGAGGGAGGTGTGTGTGTGTGTGTTAATATCTGGTTCCTCCAGTCCAGCCGTGCGTCGTTCATAACTTCTGCAGCGTGTTCACAAGGCCAGCGGCAGCATTTACCTCTGTGGAAACCACAGAGCAGAGAGGGATAGGTCAGGGCTGGGAGGAGGAAGGCCTGACTGACTGAAGACTGTTATCTCTGGCTGTGTGAGGGTCTGTTTGACTGACAGCTGTCTGTAACCCCAGAGCAGGGAGAGCAGGGAGGGGGGCTGTAGTGATGGGTTACCAGGTTCTGGTATATTAGATAGGGGATTGGTACCCCACCTTAATCCCCTTGACCCGGAGTCACACGCTCAGCCTCTGGTGACCCGGAAGTGATCTGTTTCATTTCCTGTTGACCCAGGAAGTGGTTTGAATCCCAGTTGGCCGGTAACACTGTTGGTGATGTTTCCCCCAGCAGCTTGATGGTGACAGAGTAATTTCCAAGTTGGGGGTTCTATAAAGGAACGGCTTTAAATTTTTAAAAAAACAAAGAAAATATACTTTTTCTGATTTAGAGTTGTGGTGTTGTTGGCTGGTGTATCCAGTGTGTGTGCGTGCTTGTTTATGCTCTACAGAAGAGCTTGTCTGTCTGCTGACGTTTTCAATCACATACCCTTTTGGTTTGTTTAAGCTTTAAAAAAAAGTCAAATAAGATTGGATGTCAGTTTTAGTTCTTCATATATTTTGTTTGTTTCCCTTTGTTTTTACCACCACCTGTGGGTAACTCATCAGTTTGTTCAGCTTCTATTAATTATCTATCTATTTTCTTCACATTGAGTACAGAGCTCTCTGCTGATCTGAGTGAACATATCTAGGCTGGCTAGATAGGTTCAGTAACGGTTGTGTGTGCGTGCATGCGCAACAGGGTACAGTAACAATGGAATGTGTGTGTGTGAGCATCAGGATTTTCCGTTAACCGGTAATTGGCGGCTTTTGCCCCACTCCCTAAAACAAAAGGTACGGCAATAAATATCATTTGCCTCAGCCAAATTGTCCAGAAGAACCCCATTGCAAAATAATGCTCTTTTTTTTTCTCCATTGATGGAAATGCATTTGCCCGGTCATGCTTATCGGCCAAAAAAAACACAAAACATTTGCATAATTTAGTGGAATTAAATTGGCACGTGTATTTTCGTTAATCGTCATTTATGGTATTTATCACACGCCGCAGCATACAGAGACTATGAACTGAATATCGCCAGAGCTGCTGCTGAGAGCCTGCTTCAGCTCGTTGCTGGACTTTTACTATTCTAAATGCAAGACCTACTATTTTTATTTCTCAACTGGTATGCCTTATTGAAGCGCGCCTCCAATTCGAGTACGGTAGGCAGGCTATCAGCGCGTCACCAACCACTTCACAATGTGAGCTGGAGGCAATTTGAAAACAGAAAAGTATTCACACCCCTTGACTTTTTCCACATTTTGTTGTTACAGCCTGAATTTAAAATGGATTCAATTTTGTGTCACTGATCTACACACAATACCCCATAATGTCAAAGTGGAATTATGTTTTTAGAAATGTTTACAAATTGACTAAAAATGGAAAGCTGAAATGTCTTGAGTCAATAAGTACTCAAACCTTTTGTTATGGCAAGCCTAAATAAGTTCAGGTGTAAAGGTGTGCTTAACAAGTCACATAATAAGTTGCATGGACTCACTCTGTGTGCAATAATAGTGTTCAACATCATTTTTAAACGACTACCCCATCTCTACCCCACACATAAAACTATCTGTAAGGTCCCTCGGTCGAGCAGTGAATTTCAAGCACAGATTCAACCACAAAGACCAGCAAGGTTTTCCAATGGTTCTCAAAGAAAGGCGCCTATTGATGAAAAATAAAAGCAGACATTGAATATCCCTTTGAGCATGGTGAAGTTATTAATTACACTTTGGATGGTGTATCAATACACCCAGTCACTACAAAGATACAGGCGTCCTTCCTGACTCAGTTACCGGAGAGGAAGGAAACTGCTCAGGGATTTCACTATGAGACCAATGGTGATTTTAAAATGGTTAGAGGGTTTAATGGATGGAAGAAAACTGAGGATGGATGAACAACAGTGTAGTTACTCCACAATACTAACCTAAATGACAGAGTGAAAAGAAGGAACCTGTACAGAATACAAAATATTCCAAAACATCCATCCTGTTTGCAATAAGGCACTAAAGTAATACTGCAACAAAAAAAAATGGCGACGCAATTAACCTTTTGTCCAGAATACAAAGTGTTATATTTTGGTCAAATACAACTTATTATGGAGTTACCACTCTTCTTCTTTTCAAGCATGGTGGTGCTAGAGGAAAACTCGTTTCAGACACTGGGAGATGAATTCACCTTTCAGCAGGACAATAACCTAAAACACCAGGCCAAATATACACTGGAATTGCTTACCCAAGACAACATTGAATGTTCCTGAATGGCTTAGTTACAGTTTTGACTTAAATCGGCTTGAAAATCTATGGCAAGACTTGAAAATGGCTGTCTAGCAATGATCAACCACCAACTTGACAGAGCTTGAACAATTATTTAAAGAATAATGGTTAAATGTTGTACTATCCAGGTGTGCAAAGCTCTTACAGACTTACACAGAAAGACTCTCAGCTGTAATCGCTGCCAAAGGTGATTCTAACATGTATTGACTCGGGGGGGGTTGAATACTTAACTAATCAAGATATATTCGTGTTTTATTTTCCATTAATAAAAAACAAACCATTTTTATCATTTTTCCAGTATTTTGTGTAGATCGTTGACAAAAAAATGGCATCCATTTAATCCCACTTTGTAACACAAGAAAATGTGGAAAAAGTCAAGGGGTGTGAATACTTTCTGAAGGCACCTGAAAGTTTTACTTCATATTATGACGCATGTCTTACAAAGTCCGACCTTAAACGTGGAGGCAATTATTTTATAAAGACTTCCCCATGAAACCATTTCTCTCCTGTTCTGTTGGTTTTCATATAAACTTTTTTTCGTTGTCCACAAGTCAAAGGCACAATCCCGGTCACATTAGCAAACTGTCCTAGTTTTTGCATCTTTAGATTCCTCCTCTTTCTAAATGTCTAACAGAAGATGATCTCTGAGATGCACTATATATACACAAGTAGGTGGACACCCCTTCAAATTAGTGGATTCGGCTATTTCAGCCACACCCGTTGCTGACAGGTGTATAAAATCGAGCATGCAGCCATGCAATCTCCATAGACAAACACTGACAGGAGAATGGCCTTACTGAAGAGCTCAGTGACTTTCAACGTGGCACCGTCAAATGATGTTTGTCAGTTTGTCAACTTTCTGCCCTGCTAGAGCTGCCCTGGTCAACTGTAAGTGTTGTTATTGTGAAGTGGAAACGTCTAGGAGCAACAACGGCTCAGCCACGAAGTGGTAGGCCACACAAGCTCACAGAACGGGACCGCAGAGTGCTGAAGTATGTAAAAATCGTCTGTTCTCGGTTGCAACACTCACTACCGAGTTCTAAACTGCCTCTGGAAGCAACGTCAGCACAATAACTGTTTATCTGTAAAATGGGAGAAATGGGTTTCCAGCCTAAGATCACTATGCGCAATGCCAAGCGTCGGTTGGAGTGGTGTAAAGCTCGCAGCTATTGGACTCTGGAGCAGTGGAAACGCGTTCTCTGGAGTGATGAATCACGCTTCACCATCTGGCAGTCCAATGGATGAATCTGGGTTTGGCGGATGCCAGGAGAACGCTACCTGCCTGAATGCATAGTGCCAACTGTCAAATTTGGTGGAGGAATAATGGTCTGGGGCTGTTTTTTCATGGTTCGGGCTAGGCCCCTTAGTTCCAGTGAGGGGAAATATTTAACGCTACAGCATACAATGACACTAGACGATTCTGTGCTTTCAACTTTGTGGCAACAGTTTGGGGAAGGCCCTTTACTGTTTCAGCATGACAATGCCGCTGTGCACAAAGCGAGGTCCATACAGAAATTGTTTGTCAAGATCTGTGTGGAAGAACTTAACTGGCCTGCACAGAGCCCTGACCTCAACCCCATCGAACACCTTTGGGATGAATTGGAACGCCTACTGTGAGCCAGGCCTATTCGCCTAACATCAGTGCCCCTCACTAATGCTCTTTTGGCTGAATGGAAGCAAGTCCCCACAGCAATGTTCCAACATCTAGTGGAAAGCCTTCCCAGAAGAGTGGAGGCTGTTATAGCAGCAAAGGGGGGACCAACTCCATATTAATGTGCATGATTTTGGAATGAGATGTTCAGCAGGTGTCAACATACTTTTGGTTATGAAGTGTGTGTATATAGAACCGCAAGCATCAGATGCACTGTTTAGAATGGTGTTTTCTTGCTAATTGCATTTTCACAAATGTATGAAAATTATGTTTTATTGGTTGCTTCATTACAGGAGTTGCATGTTCGGTTAAGATGAATTACCATAATCTAAATGTGATTTCTGTCATTCTGAGAACCGTGGGTGGACGCACTAATGGGTTAATGCACCCAATGCAGGTAAATTTATCAGATGTCTGATGTGATCAATTAAAACGTGTCCAGTCACGTTGTCCGGCCCCACATTGTGCTAAAGGAAACCCTGGTGCGCAAACAACTCTTCATGCATATGAACCGCATCACAGTCTTTTCACAACCATACAACGTCCCACACGATGTAAACATTTACATTTAAGTCATTTAGCAGACGCTCTTATCCAGAGCGACTTACAGTTAGTGAATATTTTTTTTGTTTTATACTGGCCCCCCGTGGGAATCGAACCCACAACCCTGGCATTGCAAATGCCATGCTCTATCAACTGAGCTACATCTCTGCCGGCCATTCCCTCCCCTACCCTGGACGACGCTGGGCCAATTGTGCGCCGCCCATGAGTCTCCCGGTCACGGCCGGCTGCGACAGAGCCTGGATTCGAACCAGGATCTCTAGTGGCACAGTTAGCACTGCGATGCAGTGCCTTAGACCACTGCGCCACTCAGGAGACAAATATAACATCTGTGAATGACATACCTGATGTAAAATATGTTCAGTCGGCATGCTGTGATCGTTTATTACGCATGCGCACATTAAGTGTTACCAGTTCCAATCGGTTCTCCAGACCGCAAGAGTTAGCTACGGCAGTAACACACACAATTATGTAACGTCAGTCTGTTAGCCAAGTCTAGGAACAACTATAGATAGATAACATGAATTGATACTCTCGATCATTTGATCTTTACCTGTGTGTGTGTGTACACTGTCAATTTATTCAATAATATTTGGTAAAACTACTGCTAGCTAACTGACGTCACAGGCCTGCATGTCTTATCCTATCACAATGCTTTCTAATGATTTTGCATTTGAATAAAGTATTTGTTTTGATTAAAATCAGTTGTCTGTTTGTTTATTTATATATGTTTACTTGTGATTGTGGTGTGCAATGACGGGTTTACACATAGAGAATGATAAAGATATATGTCCGCACGGGCAGCGCCAATGGGGCAATCTCCATTTTCTTCTTCTACTATGAGTTGGTAAACAAACTGAAAGTGTGCACACTGCCACCGTGTTGTTGGAACAGGTTTAAAGCCAAGGTTGGCGATTTACTGCCACCTACAGTTACGGGAATGTTTGATCACGAGTATATGAGTATATATAAATTCATTGGCTGAGCCCTCCCGGATGGATTCATGTGATCCTTCCTTTAACCAATAGGAAGTCCCACTCAGTTGACTAACTTTAAAATGGCGGAAGCCCTCAATGGCACCTGACCTTTTCACAATTATATTTGCTCACATCACTCGCGCGTCTACGGGGTGGATCCCCAAATAAATGTGTAAAAATAAATTACGTTTGTTGTGCAAGACGATTTATAGATAAAAGGGTACGTAGCATATAATTTATCCTCCGAAAATACAACTGATTCAAAGGGGGGTGTGGCAGATATAAATTTTCTTGCGCTGTAGGAGACACTTGCCCTTCTTCGCCGGGTGGCCTAGTGGTTAAGACAGTTGGGCCAGTATCCGAAAGGTTCGAATCCCTGAGCCACCGACTGGGTGAAACATCTATGTGCCCTAGAGCAAAGCACTTAACCCTAATTTCTACTGTAAATCGCCCTGGATAAAAGTGTCTGCTAAATGATGTAAAAGGAGGCTATCGAGGGGAGGACCGTCTTCCGTTTGCCTACTAACGAACTGACACACAACTAGATCACTTATCTGTTTCCGGGTCATGGAGGAGAGAGGACTGACTTTTTCCCATACAAGAAAAGGTCAATATTTCTCACCGGAGGAGTTACGTGGAGTACCACCCTCTCTGGCCCCAGAGCCTTGGTGGGAGTATGGAATTTTGAAGGACTGAAGAAGTGGGAGATATATTTTGTTAAATCCTGTGTGTGGATTAGCACCCCTCCCCCCTTTCACCATCTGGTGTTTCCTTTTTTCACCCCCGTCCAGTTGGTGGCGGTAATACGTCAATCGCCGTTAAAACCCATCGAAGAAGACCCGGAAGTGGGTAAAAAGGGAAGAACATCGACACGCTCACAGACAAGGCATGCCACAAGGTTGATGTTGAATACACGTCTGAAGTTTTGTCAAGATGTCTAAACTACATCGGTTAAGTGTGTTTATCACCGAGCAGTTATCAGCAGTGGCGGTTGAGATATTTGTTGTGGTGGAAAAGACGATAGCAGAGGTTCAGGGAGAGAACGACCGTCTACGGGGGCTTCTTCTAGATCATTTAGGAGCAGGTTTGTATTGTTTTTATTCGGCTAGTTCTCTATTAAGCTTGCTTTTCCGTCATCATGTTAGTTAGGTAGTTAATGCTAACAGCCATGCAGTGAATCAGCCTAGGCAGCCGCCAGTGGGCGCCTATTGAAGATAGTATCACAGACAGAAGGGGTAACCCAAATCACATGGGCTATTAAAGCTGAAGCATCCGGGGTATTGGGAGAGGATGGTACTACACTACATGACCAAAAATATGTGGACACCTGCTCGTCGAACATCTCATTCCAAAATCATGGGCATTAATATGGAGTTGGTCCCCCCCTTTGCTGCTATAACAGCCTCCACTCTTCTGGGAAGGCTTTCCACTAGATGTTGGAACATTGCTGCGGGGACTTGAGGTCGGGCATTGATGTTGGGCAATTACGCCTGGCTCGCAGTCGGCGTTCCAATTCATCCCAAAGGTGTTCGATGGGGTTGAGGTCAGGGCTCTGTGCAGGCCAGTCAAGTTCTTCCACACCGATCTCAACAAACAATTTCTGTATGGACCTCGCTTTGTGCACAGCGGCATTGTCATGCTGAAACAGTAAAGGGCCTTCCCCAAACTGCTGCCACAAAGTTGGAAGCACAGAATCTTCTAGAATGTCATTGTATGCTGTAGCGTTAAGATTTCCCTTCACTGGAACTAAGTGGCCTAGCCCAAACCATGAAAAACAGCCCCAGACCATTATTCCTCCTCCACCAAACTTTACAGTTGGCACTATGCATTTGGGCAGATAGCGTTCTCCTGGCATCCGTCGGACTGCCAGATGGTGAAGCGTGATTCATCACGCCAGAGAACCTGTTTCCACTGCTCCAGAGTCCAATGGCGGCGAGCTTTACCCTACTCCAGCTGACGCTTGGCATTGCGCATGGTGATCTTAAGCTTGTGTGCGGCTGCTCGGCCACATAAACCCATTTCATGCTCCCGACGAACATTTATTGTGCCAATGTTTCTTCCAGAGGCAGTTTTTTACTCACTTCAGCACTCGGTGGTCCCGTTCTGTGAGCTTGTGTGGCCTACCACTTAGAGGCTGAGCCGTTGTTGCTCCTGGACGTTTCCACTTCACAATAACAGCACTTACAGTTGACCAGGGCAGCTCTAGCAGGGCAGAAATTAGACTGACTTGTTGGAAAGGTGGCATCCTATAACGGTGCCACGTTGAAAGTCACTGAGCTCTTCAGGAAGGCCATTCTACTGCCAATGTTTGTCTATGGAGATTGCATGGTTGTGTGCTCGATTTTATACACCTGTCAGCAACGGGTGTGGCTGAAATAGCCGAATCCACTAATTTGAAGGGGTTGTCTACATATTTATGTATATAAAGTGTATTTTAAGATGAATGCACTAGTTGTAAGTCGCTCTGGATAAGAGTGTCTGCCAAATGACTAAAATGTTAATGTACAAAAATGTTAAATGATACTTGTGTATGACATGCCTAGATTGAGTGAAGTAAACGGTTGTGTTCCCCTGCTCAGACGTTGCATGCGTCAACTAATGTTTGCGTTCCACATCGGACTGTGCCATCGAGCACCAGATTGCTAAATGATACTTATGTCATGCAATAAAATGCACATTAATTACTTAAAAATCATACAATGTGATTTTCTGGATTTTTGTTTTAGATTCCGTCTCTCACAGTTGAAGTGTACCTATGATAAAAATTACAGACCTCTACATGCTTTGTAAGTAGGAAAACCTGCAAAATCGGCAGTGTATCAAATACTTGTTCTCGCCACTGTATATAGTGTAGGTGAAACTGGGCCGACAATCTGCTAATTGTCTCATTGATGAAACATCTAATCAAAAAAACAAATAATGTTCTCAAAACTAGAATTTGTTTTCGAACACAGTGCACTACGTTTTATAGACTTGACGCTTTGCCAAAGTTTTAAAAAATGGTGTTGTTTAGGAGTGCAATGTCGAATTGAGTTTGTGCACATTCGCACTTCACCAAGGAGGCGTTCCCTAACGGAAATGTGCACATTTTACATTACATTTACATTTTAGTCATTTAGCAGACGCTCTTATCCAGAGCGACTTACAGTTGGTGAATACATATTTTTTTTTATTTTTTTTTATACTGGTCCCCCGTGGAATCGAACCCACAACCCTGGCGTTGCAAACGCCATGCTCTATCAACTGAGCTACATCCCTGCCGGCCATTCCCTCCCCTACCCTGGACAACGCTAGGCCAATTGTGCGCCGCCCATGAGTCTCCCGGTCGCGGCCGGCTGCGACAGAGCCTGGATTCGAACCAGGATCTCTAGTGGCACAGCTAGCACTGCCTTAGACCACTGCGCCACTCAGGAACCCAAATACATGCTGCAAAACGCCAATTAGATATCGCTAGCTCGTGCTTGGCTCTGCCCACCACCTTACTTGTTCAGCCCACTATGCTTTATTTGTAAGCAACACTGATTAACTATCTTGGGTTAGTGTTAAATATCTTTGCTAGTATCTTCTGACTGGGGACGTGTTTTTTAAAGAGCCCCGATGCTTGTTCGGAATGGTAAAACGCATCGCTTCCGGTTACGGTTTTGGAAACATAAGGAACGTATCATATTATCGAGAAATAATAATAAATAAAGGACAGTTACAACACCTGTTATGGGTTTAATTTTGAGTTTTCCCACACGGCCATATCTCCATGTTGAAGACAGACACGACCACCTGTGCTAATTGGCTATCTAGCATGCTCGAACACCTGTGCTAATTGGCTATCTAGCATGCTCGACCACCTGTGCTAATTGGCTATCTAGCATGCTCGACCACCTGTGCTAATTGGCTATCTAGCATGCTCGACCACCTGTGCTAATTGGCTATCTAGCATGCTCGACCACCTGTGCTAATTGGCTATCTAGCATGCTCGAACACCTGTGCTAATTGGCTATCTAGCATGCTCGAACACCTGCTAATTGGCTATCTAGCATGCTCGAACACCTGTGCTAATTGGCTATCTAGCATGCTCGAACACCTGTGCTAATTGGCTATCTAGCATGCTCGAACACCTGTGCTAATTGGCTATCTAGCATGCTCGAACACCTGTGCTAATTGGCTATCTAGCATGCTCGAACACCTGTGCTAATTGGCTATCTAGCATGCTCGAACACCTGTGCTAATTGGCTATCTAGCATGCTCGACCACCTGTGCTAATTGGCTATCTAGCATGCTCGACCACCTGTGCTAATTGGCTATCTAGCATGCTCGAACACCTGTGCTAATTGGCTATCTAGCATGCTCGAACACCTGTGCTAATTGGCTATCTAGCATGCTCGAACACCTGTGCTAATTGGCTATCTAGCATGCTCGAACACCTGTGCTAATTGGCTATCTAGCATGCTCGAACACCTGTGCTAATTGGCTATCTAGCATGCTCGAACACCTGTGCTAATTGGCTATCTAGCATGCTCGAACACCTGTGCTAATTGGCTATCTAGCATGCTCGACCACCTGTGCTAATTGGCTATCTAGCATGCTCGAACACCTGTGCTAATTGGCTATCTAGCATGCTCGAACACCTGTGCTAATTGGCTATCTAGCATGCTCGAACACCTGTGCTAATTGGCTATCTAGCATGCTCGAACACCTGTGCTAATTGGCTATCTAGCATGCTCGAACACCTGTGCTAATTGGCTATCTAGCATGCTCGACCACCTGTGTGTAATGTTAAGCTTAACTGGGGAGGAAGTGTAGTTCGTTGGCTGGAGTCACACAGTGTATGAATCTGTGCAAACCTGCTACAGTAATTCTTTTTTTTTTTTTTGAATGGTTATTTTTTGCTGATTTATAAAAGATAAGGGCCATATGTTTTGACAATAGTAACATAACCGTTGATTATTTACATTTCTAAACGTTAAAACACAGTGTTGGGATTGTAGTTGACATGGACCCCAAGCGTGGGGCGAAGATCACCGCTGAAAACTTTAGGAGAGAAGGCAGGCTAGGGTTTCCAAGCACTAGCAATGAGGGTGCATTCACACTGAGCCACGTTGAAAGACGGGGACAGGAAAGAGAACTTTGTGGGGATAGAGGGGGGGGAGTAGCTACAGAGTTGTTCCCGGGATATGTGACGCTCCATAACCGTTACAGATTTGGTCACGGGATATGTGACGCTCCATAACCGTTACAGAGTTGGTCACGGGATATGTGACGCTCCATAACCGTTACAGAGTTGGTCACGGGATATGTGACGCTCCATAACCGTTACAGAGTTGGTCACGGGATATGTGACGCTCCATAACCGTTACAGATTTGGTAACGGAAAGAAGGAAACAAATCTATTGTTGGCGATACACTTTTTACCGAATCGAGAACTTAGAAAGGTATCTCCAAAAAACGGTTAATATTCAGAAATATATTAAATCCACGTGTTGTATCGAGTGAGATGCATCTTTCATGTGTGTAGATCTTTTGTTTTGGTCGCACTCTGTAACCATCTGTAACTGGACACAGACATTTATAAGATACACTTTTTACTGAATAGAGAAGGAAAAAAGTATCCACAAGAACCGGTTAGTTGAAAAATTCCTTGCAAGGCTTTCCATTACCCAATCTGTAACGGGTATGGAGCAGCACATGTCCCGTTAACAACTCTGTGGGTAGGGAGGGAGTTGATCGTGTGATGGCATAATGGCTATTAAAGATGTAGCTAGCAAAACTAGTCAGTAGGTGCAATCAACAAGGCTTCCATTTGCGGCCAACATGTTCCCTAGTAAGAGTTTCCTGTTGGTTTTAATGAACATTCCAAACTGTCGTGGTGACGCCGCAAAATGGCTCCTGTGTCTTTATAGCAGCAATATTCAAACTGGAAATTACTTTGGTATTCCTACCTATTTCCTCTCCTCTCTCTCCAGACCCCAATCAGCTAACTCTACCTGAAGACGAGGTTCCCCCTAAGCAGCAGGAGTGGAGCCCCAGGCCGGGGCAGGAGGACCCAGAGCCCACACAGATTACAGAGGAACAGGAGGAACTCAGGACCAGTCAGGAGGAAGAGAAGCTTCAAAGACTTAGGTCTGCTACCACAGAGGTTGTACAGTTTATATTTATTCCTCCCTGTGTGGAAAGTGACTGTGACCAGGACAGCAAGACAGACTCTCTACCCACCAACACAACTGAACAGACCCAATCAGCATCGGATGACGAGGACTACAGAGTATCAGAACTAACCAGTCACTCTCAACCCCTCTCTGCAGTAAATCCAAACAGTTCTGCAGCTCTGAGTGAAATCATTGTAAGTATTGATGAAGACGAGAGTGAAGAACTACCGTCAGGTTCAAAGAGAACACTGGGAAAGAAAGGACAAACCTCTCAAGTCTGCACTGAGGCCAAGACAACCAGTGAGCCGAAAGCACCATTAAAGTCTCACGCAAGCAGGGGACCATACAAGTGTCCTGTGTGCAGTAAACTCTTTAAGGCACCAAGCAGTTTAAAAGTACATCAGAGAATTCACAATAGAACACCTCCACTTCACAGGTGTCCTTCCTGTCCTAAAACCTATCACACTCGAGGGAGTTTAAAACGACACCAGACACTTCACACAGGGGAGCCAAAATACAAGTGTTCTGTGTGCGCTAAAGGCTTTGCCTACTTAGGCTCTTTAAAAGATCATCAGCAAATTCACACAGGTGAGAAATCACTTAAGTGCCAAGAATGTGACAAATCCTTCAGATGCAAGTACTACTTCAACAAGCATATGAGGACTACTCACCCAGGTGCAAAGACATACAGCTGTTCTGTGTGCAGTGAATCTTTCAACACACCAACCTCTCTGAAAATACATCAGAGAACTCATGGTGAGAATCTATACAGCTGTCCTGTGTGCAGTAAAAGCTTTAAGAAACCAAGCCTTTTAAAAAAACATCAGTTAATTCACACAGAGGAGAAACCACACAAGTGTCTTGTGTGCAATAAATGCTTTAAGCTACCAAGCAGTCTAAAGGTACACCAGAGACTTCATGGTGAGAAACCATACAAGTGTGCTGTGTGCAGTAAAAGCTTTAACACTTCAACTAAATACGAAATACATCAGAGAAATCACACAGGTGAGAAACCATTCCAGTGTCCTGTGTGTATGAAAAGCTTTACTAGCAAATGGTCTTTAAAAATACATCAGATATATCACACAGGGGAGAAATCACACGAGTGCAAAAAATGTGACAAATGCTTCTACCGCAAGGGACATCTGGTCAGGCATATGATGACTCACACAGGGGAGAATCCACACAAGTGCCCTATATGTGAAAAATGCTTTACAACAGCCTCTCCTCTGAAACTCCATCAGCAAATTCACACCGGAGAGAAATCACATCAGTGTGAAGTTTGTGGCAAAAGCTTCTGTATGAATGGAAAACTGACAGAACATATGAGGACTCACACAGGGGAGAAATCGTACAAGTGCCCCTATATGTGAAGAAGACTTCACCTCAGCCCCTTCTCTGAAACTCCATCAGCAAATTCACACCGGAGAGAAATCACTAGAGCAATAGAGCATATGCTTTGAATACTGTTGGGCAAATATGCAGTTTTGGGCAAATTTTCATATCACTTTGCTTAATTTGTCACAAGGATTTTGTATGGCTGTTGAAATGTGCAGAACATTAAATCAGCTATGTACGGCCCTCTTTTAGTTGTTGCTTGCGCCTACGCTTGTCACAGTCCGTTGAAGCAGCATCAGCTCTCACAACTCCTCTCTGATTGCTTCCAGTGTCACCAAAGTGCTGTCAAGCCACACTTTTTCCATCACATTTGATATAGCAGTGGCTCCCTCATTGAACGTGGCTACTGGCTGCTGCAGACAGTTTTGGGGCATCGCAACCATATTACAGAGTTTAGACATTCATTTTCACATTCCACATTCCTTTGTCTCATGCCCTTCTGCACACTTCTCACACCTTGGAACCTCCCTCCTACACACTGCTGCCACATGCCCATAAGTTTGACACCTGTAACCTCGTAATGTATTTGTCACATAAGCTCATACAGGATAACTTATATAGTGAGGGGAAAAAAGTATTTGATCCGCTGCTGATTTTGTACGTTTGCCCACTGACAAAGAAATGATCAGTCTATAATTTTAATGGTAGGTTTATTTGAACATTGAGAGACAGAATAACAACAAAATCCAGAAAAATGCATGTCAAAAATGTTATAAATTGATTTGCATTTTAATGAGGGAAATAAGAATTTGACCCCCTCTCAATCAGAAAGATTTCTGGTTCCCAGGTGTCTTTTATACAGGTAACGAGCTGAGATTAGGAGCACACTCTTAAAGGGAGTGCTCCTAATCTGTTTGTTACCTGTATAAAAGACACCTGTCCACAGAAGCAATCAATCAATCAGATTCCAAACTCTCCACAATGGCCAAGACCAAAGAGCTCTCCAAGGATGTCAGGGACAAGATTGTAGACCTACACAAGGCTGGAATGGGCTACAAGACTATCGCCAAGCAGCTTGGTGAGAAGGTGACAACAGTTGGTGCGATTATTTGCAAATGGAAGAAACACAAAAGAACTGTCAATCTCCCTCGGCCTGGGGCTCCATGCAAGATCTCACCTCGTGGAGTTGCAATGATCATGAGAACGGTGAGGAATCAGCCCAGAACTACACGGGAGGATCTTGTCAATGATCTCAAGGCAGCTGGGACCATAGTCACCAAGAAAACAATTGGTAACACACTACGCCGTGAAGGACTGAAATCCTGCAGCGCCCGCAAGGTCCCCCTGCTCAAGAAAGCACATATACAGGCCCGTCTGAAGTTTGCCAGTGAACATCTGAATGATTCAGAGGAGAACTGGGTGAAAGTGTTGTGGTCAGATGAGACCAAAATCGAGCTCTTTGGCATCAACTCAACTCGCCGTGTTTGGAGGAGGAGGAATGCTGCCTATGACCCCAAGAACACCACCCCCACCGTCAAACATGGAGGTGGAAACATTATGCTTTGGGGGTGTTTTTCTGCTAAGGGGACAGGACAACTTCACCGCATCAAAGGGACGATGGACGGGGCCATGTACCGTCAAATCTTGGGTGAGAACCTCCTTCCCTCAGCCAGGGCATTGAAAATGGGTCGTGGATGGGTATTCCAGCATGACAATGACCCAAAACACACGGCCAAGGCAACAAAGGAGTGGCTCATGAAGAAGCACATTAAGGTCCTGGAGTGGCCTAGCCAGTCTCCAGACCTTAATCCCATAGAAAATCTGCAAAGAGGAGTGGAACAAAATCCCTCCTGAGATGTGTGCAAACCTGGTGGCCAACTACAAGAAACGTCTGACCTCTGTGATTGCCAACAAGGGTTTTGCCACCAAGTACTAAGTCATGTTTTGCAGAGGGGTCAAATACTTATTTCCCTCATTAAAATATAAATGAATTTATAACATTTTTGATATGCGTTTTTCTGGATTTTGTTGTTATTCTGTCTCACTGTTCAAATAAACCTACCATTAAAATTATAGACTGATCATGTCTTTGTCAGTGGGCAAACGTACAAAATCAGCAGGGGATCAAATACTTTTTTCCCTCACTGTATATCCTAACGTCACTTTGTCAGGCAAAGGCTCAACTTCAAAACGAAAAAGAACAGACAATGACTCTTCTGTTTCCCCACTCTCGCCACCCTGTTTGATAGACAACAATTAATAAATAGAATTTTAGTTTTTCATACATTTTTACAATATAGCCAACTGAATTTGTCTGTGCTATCTAGTGGAAACCCAGACTCTTATCTGATGACCAGAAGTGGTTCCCATCCCAGTTGCCGAGCAACAGCGTCCTCACTAGTTACCACAGCCACAAAGGCATAAACACCGCCTATTTCTACAATTTCTCTAATTAAAATCGGATTTTTAAACGTAACCTTAACTACACTGCTAACCTTAGCCCAATCCTAGCTTTAAATTAAGACCAAAAAGCAAATTATTTTCAATAATTTTTATGATATATAGCCAATTTTTTAATTTGTGGCTGTCGTAACTAGTGGAAACCCAGCAACAGTGTTGGTGATGTTGTTACTCCCAGCAGCTTGATGTTGACAGTCATTTCCAAGTTGGGGTTTATGTAAAGGAACAGCTTTAAAAAGTGACTGAACACGCCGATTGGCACGCGTGTTTTTAAGCTGTTCATTAGAAAAACAAGATTTCAGTCTTGGAGGTGTGTTTCCTGACGGATTCTGCATTTGGTTAATTATGTTTGTCCCCCATGAGACACTAGATGGGGAAGTCTATTTCACTTCCTCAAAATCCCCAGAGTGAATCTAGGATGCGCGACGTGTTGTCTTGTGTAAACAAAATCGGGCTGCTGGGCAGGTCTGTCTCACTGGCTATCCTATTGGATAGAGAGAGATCACAGCAGCTGTACAGGCCACGTTAGTCAAACGGATATCATGAAATCACAACCCAACCTTAATTTATCCGTTGTGACCACGGATGTTCCAATCTCCGTTTTTTAGACGTGGCTGACTTTATGACAAATTATCCTATTTACACTTTGTAGTCAATTTAGCTTTTTAAAGGCAGTCGCACTTTAAAAACAAAAAGACAAAGAAAATACACTTTTTCTGATTGTTCCCCACGATTAAATTGGGGAGGGACTGTGGATCTGTCTCTATATGTTTGTCAGTGGCGACCCGTCATTCAGGGCAGGTTGCCTGTTTTGCATGTTATTTTGGAATTAATGTGTCACATATCAGTTTTGCAAACAATGTAAAAAATAAATAAATAAAAATCTGAGTAAATAAAGGTGGTCTATTTTTTGCTTTCTTGAGTAAGGCAGCTCCAAAATGCAGGTGTTTCAGCCCAGCTCAGTGCTTTCTGTGGTGGTGGGGCAGCCAGCGGAGGATACGGAGCGTAGGGGTTGGTAATGTTCTCTAGTTGCGCCGTGATTGGCTCAGCGTTCTGTCAATCTTGGGGATACTACGTCACCGCAAAATACAAGCCCCTTCGGTGCTGCCATAGAGTTACATTAGAAGTGCCCATCCAAGAAGGCTCAAGGTCATTGGCCACAGATAAAATGACGTCAAAACATGTTATATCTACCGTAGCTTTTGATTCATTCATGTCACCATCATACTTTCAAAATCTTAGCTAGCGAGCTAGACAAGCAGTCATATTCATGAATCACGTTGACAATAATTTTCAATCCTTGTCATATGAAGATAAATTATAGATAAAACGTATCGGTGCTCATCGACCATTGGACATAAACATTACACAACCAGTTGGAAATTGCAAATTTAACAATGAGTCGTTTGGAAGGAATCAGTGGCTAACTGCAAGCATTGCAAAGCAATCACTAGCCTGCTATTCAGTGGAGTGGGTATGTGGTCCAATTCTGGGTTTAAGGGTCTCCTTTCCAAGCTTAAAAGGATAAACATTCACATGCCATGGGCCAGAAAATGTTGAATACATTGGCCATGTTGTCAATTCATTATGACTTCTG